TAATTAACATCTGTAGTATAAACAATAATAAAAAAAATTAATGTGATGCATATTAAATACACAAAAAACAACAAAACATGAACATATGTACTGAAAATAAACATCCTTATTTTGTAAATATTTTTCTATGCTTTAATAAAAATAAATTGATTCAAAAACATTAGTGAGTTCATTCCTTACTAAAATAAGTTGTGACATTCACCTCCGGTTCATAGAACGCAATTCTGAATATACATTTATTCGCATTTTCGTTGCATACTGATAAAATTTTGTAGGCTGTTAATGTAATTTAGGCCAAAAATGCTCCTCGTTCATCTGTGACAAATGACACATGCAGGTACCAAATTTTCAGGGTTGTATTGAGGAAAAAAATGGTTTTCTATAGAATGGTACTTTTTCCCAAGTTTATTACCTTATGCAATTTTTGATCATTTTTCGACAATCTTCGACGATTAGCTGAAGAGATTTTTTGTTGAATTCAAACCCTAGAAGTTATTTAAATTAAATTTTTATGCTTAAAATTCCTATTTTTGCAGAATCGCCAATTGAAATATGGCAATTTTTGAAATTATAAAAAAAATCTTTTTCAAACCGAATGTTTCGGAAATCTTGCCTTGGAACAGTAGAACCTTTTAAAATTTCAAATTAGCACATTGAAAATAATAAATATATCTCAAATTTTTTTGTGGATTTTTTGGTAACTTTTCCAAAAGCAAAATTTTTCGATACTCCGGCACTGCAAAATTTTTTATTTTTTTCAAGTACCTCCGAAAATTAGTTAGACTTTTTTTGTAGATTTCGACTCCTGAAGTTATTTTCGGCCCTATTTCTTCGAAAATTCCAACCATTTTTCCAGAATCGTCAACTGAAAACTAAAAAAATTCGATTCCTACGTTTCCGATTATCTTAACACGTTTGCAAGATTCCAAACCATTCAATTTGGCAATTTCAAACCTAAATTGTAAAATGTTATAAAATTTTGATTTTTTTTTCCAAAAATCTGCAAATGTAGGGTGAAAATCAAACACGGATTCATAAACCAACAGTACAGGAATTGAAATAACTTCGATTCGGGAAAATTTTGTGAGAGGGATAAACGGATAAATTCTGTTTAACGATTTACCATGGTTCTGATAATCTTCAAAAGTCTGCAAGTTTTCAGCACATTAGGTTTTTCAGTCCCAACATTAAATTGTAAATGTTGTTATACAATTTTTTTTTTTCAAAAATTTTGATGTTATCCGTCAGAGATTTATTTCAACAACATGATACGTAAAAACATATTTCACATCGTAGCTTCTTGTAGTGAAATAGGTATTTTGTAATTAAGCTCCGCCCTTCGGTACACAATGAATAAAAAAGTTATCACAATTGAGATGAGGGCGGGTGGGCGGGGGTTGTATTTTGTCGGTTTTTTCTTAATATATGTACGTAGTTTTCCTTTAAACACAAGAAACTGAAAACAGGTTTAAAAAGTTAAATCAGGAGAGAAGTGTGGGAGATAAAATTAACAATGCAAAACATAAGCCCCGCCCGCCCACCCACCCTATCTCAATTGTGACGACTTTTCTTTATTCGTCGTGAGTCACGGGGGGCGGAGCTTAATTGCAAAATCCGTATTTTTCTACAAGAATTATCATGTTGAAACCGTGTTCTTCAGTGATCGTGGGTTGTTGACATTTTATTTTTTTTTTTAATATATACACGTTTCTTTCAACAACACCATACTTAAAACATGTTTCAGATGGTAATTTCTTGTAGAGAAAAAAGGATTTTGCAATTAAACTCCGCCCCCCGGCTCACGACGAATAAAAAAATCATTACAATTGAGGTGGCGTCGGGTGGGTGGGGCTTAAATTTTGCCTTTTTTTTCTGAATACACATAATCTTCTTTTCACGACAAGATATTTAAAACATGTTTAAAATGCCAAATTTTTATCTGGAAACATCGATTTTACAATGAAACTCCGCCCCTCGGTGTGACAATGAATGAAAAGTTCATTACAATTGAGACTGGGACGGGTGGGTGGGACTTACCTTTTTACGTTTTTTCTTAACATGTGTAGCTTCCTTTCAAGAACATTATACTTAAAGACATGTTTCACATGGTAGTTAGTTCCTTGTAGAGAAATACGCATTTTGCAATTAAGCTCCGCCCTTCGGCTCACAACGAATAAAAAATTCGTCACAATTGGGATGAGGGCGGGGGTCGTATTTTGCCTGTTTTTTCTTAATATATATACGCAGTTTTCTTTTAAAGACAAGAAAATGAAAACATGTTTAAGAGTAAATTTGTAGTGAAGTGTGGGGGATAAAATTTACTATTTTAAACATGTTTTCAGTTTCTTGTTGTGAAGAGAAAACAATGTATATTAAGAATAAAAAAACAATGTAAAACATAAGCCCCGCCCACCCACCCTGTCTCAATTGTGACGATTTTCTTTATTCGTCGTGAGCCAGAGGAGGCGGAGCTTAATTGCATAATCCGTGTTTTGTACAATTATAATACTAATAATAATTTTATGAACTTAAATAACCGTTTACCACAATAAAAATTAAATTATAGAAAAATCAACATTTTAAATTCGCGTAAAACAATGCCTGGTGTATTGTGCAGGATTTGTTAATTATTTTAATATAATTATTATTATTTTCTTCTTTGTTGTAGGCAAATGCGTGAAAGTTGTATATAAATGTGTATCTGAAAAACATTTTTATTTCAGTCCTACTTGTTTTTGCATACTTGCCTATTTTTGATCACTGACATTTTGCTTTTTTCTACCTATATTGTTCTAAACTCTGGATTTTCTACACCTCTAAGCACATGCTTTTTTGCGAAGGTCGAAAATTGAAAAACCGAAAAATCGAAAACCAAAAAGTCAAAAATCGAAAAATAGGAAAATTGAAGTATCAAAAAACTGAAAAACCCATAATTTAAAAATTTGGTAAATTGAAAAATTCAAGAACTGAAAAATTAAAGAATCGAAAAATCAAAAATCTAAAATTTTATGTATTGAAAAACTAAAATTTCAAAAAATTTAAAAACCGAGAAATTGAAAAATTTAAAAATCAAACAATTAAAAATCGAAAAAATAGAAACACAATTGTTCGTCGGAGCTAAATTGCAAAATCCGTATTTTTCTACAAGAAGTATCATGTTGAAAACATGTTCTTCAGTGATCTTTGTTCTTGTTGACATTTATTTTTTTTAATACATATATACAAGTTTTTTTCAACAACACCATACATATAAACATGTTTCAGATGGTAATTTGTTGTAGAGAAATAGGAATTTTGCAATTAAACTCCGCCCCCCGGCTCACGACGAATAAAAAAATCATTATAATTGAGACTACGGCGGGTGGGCGGGGCTTAATTTTGCCTTCTTTTCTGAATATACATCTTCTTTTCACGACAAGATTTTACAATTAAACTCCGCCCCTCGGTCTGACAACGAATGAAAAGTTCGTCACAATTGAGATGGGGTGGGTGGGGGGGCTTACATTTTGCCTTTTTGTTTTAATATTTGTAGACTTCTTTTCACAACATGAAACTTAACACATGTTTAAAAAGGTAAATCTGGAGAGAAGTGTGGGGGGTAAAATGTACTATTTTAAACATTTTTCAGTTTCTTGTTGTAAAGAGAAGACTGTATATTAAGAGTAAAAAAACGATGCAAAACATAAGCCCCGCCCACCCACCCTATCTCAATTGTGACGATTTTTCTTTATATGTCGTAAGCCAAGGGAGGCGGAGCTTACTTGCAGAAACCGTATTTTTCCACAAGAATTATCATGTGAAACATGTTCTTCAGTTAACTTTTGTTGTTGTACTATGGTAGGGGAGAGGGGGGTTACAGTTTCCTTTTTTTCAAAATGGTCTATTTTCAACAATACCATACTTAAAACATGTTTTGCTGAAAAATGCATAACACTTGAGATCAAGGCGTGTGGGTGGGGCTTGTTTTTTTTTTTTCAATATACATATACAGGTTTTTTTTCAACAACACCATACTTTTTTCAAATGGTAATTTCTTGGAGAAAAATAATAATTGAAATTAAACTCCGCCATCCGGCTCACAACGAATAAAAAAAATAATTATAATTGCGATGGCGGTGGGTGGGCGGGGCTTAAATTTTCCCTTTTTTCACATAAACATGTTTAAAATGGTAATTTTTTATCGGGAAACATCGATTTTACAATGAAACTCCGCCCCTCGGTCTGACAACGAATGAAAAGTTCGTCACAATTGAGATGGGGTGGGTGGGTGGGGCTTATTTTTGTACTTTTTTTCTTAATATGTGTAGTTTCCTTTCAACAACATGTTAGGCATTTTGCAATTAAGCTCCGCCCTTCGGCTCACAACGAATAAGTTATTACAACTGAGATGTGAACGTAATTTTATTTTAAACACAAGGAACTTAAAACATTTAAAAAGTAAATCTGTAGACAAGTGTGGGGGACAAAATTTACGATTTTAAACATGTTTTCAGTTTCTTGTTTTGAAGAAAAGATATGTATATTAAGGATAAAAAAAAAACAATGGAAAACTTAAGCTCCACCCACCCACTCTATCTCAGTTGTGACGATTTTTCTTTATTCGTCGTGAGCCGGGGGAGGCGGAGCTTAATTTCAAAATCCATATTTTCCACAAATATACTACTAATAATAATTATAATGATATCATTTTAATTTTTCACTCGTAAACAATATTGTATAAAACATGTGAAAGGAGCATCATTTACTCACCTGTTTACAAAGCTCGACTTTATCCTATTCTATACTATCCACCTACTGAAGGAAACGCCGTCTAGTTGTACAAACAACTATACTACAGCCACCTTTGATACAATTGTTTGCAGACACTCCGCATACCGTAATTTACTATTTTCTGTCCGTGTTCGACGTGTCGTAACTATTGTGAGTCCGGATTATCGCGGTTCTACTGTATTAACAACCACCCGTACGTGTCTTTGTGCTAACTTACCGTCTTGTTTCAGAATTATCCACGAAAGTGGGTTCACAAGCGAAGACTTCAAACAATACCGACCGGTAGTGTATAGCAACACTATTCAATCCCTTGTGGCCATCCTGCGGGCCATGCCAAACCTCGGAATCAGCTACGGCAACAACGAGCGAGAGGTCAGTATTTTTTGTGTCTTTAATAGCGAAAAAATTCACCCGAACTATTCTCAGCGTAAAATATTGTAAAGTTTAAATTAAAAGTGCGTTCTTGCTGCTGAAATAATAAATAATTGAGTTAAAATAAGCTAGATATATTCGGAGAAACAAATATTTATATTATTAATGTTCGGGTGTTGAACGTGGCCGGAACTTTGTATGGACGAAAAAGTCAACTGGTTTACCCCGGATTTATTAGAAGCGGACACAGGTTGCACCGTTGTTTACGGGGGTATCGATTATGATAGGGGTTGCTAGTGGCCAAGTTCACATGTGGAAAGAGGCGGGTGTTACGGAAAACTTTGTTTTGGCACAATTTCTACAAGTTAGATATTTATTTGTTTTTAATATCCGGATGAGATGCCGAAATTTTCTGGTGATTTCGCAAAATGTTGTAACTTGTTTTTAAATCAAGGTAATTTAATAATAGTTATATAATTAACTATTCTGCCTGTTTATGTTATAAAACGAACATTATAGTAGTGATTTGTTTGATTGTCACTATGATTTTAAAATACTTCCTTATCTTTTATAAATACATGACATAATGGGTCTTAGATAACTATGTTTATAGAACATTATATAGATTAGGATACTAAAAAAAGTGGTCTTTGAAATTTCGAATTGGATAGAGAGATGATGTCACTCTTACTTTGTCTGACACAATGTAGGGTTCCTCTCTGTTATTTCTGTCTATTCGGAAGTTGACACACCTTGAAAAGCGCTAATTTATTTTATGGATGGTTTTTTCGTTTTATTTATTGGTCCACAAATGTTTGAATTTCATTGTAATACTTAATTAATTCCTTGAAGGATTATTTAAATTTATAGTTATGTCTTCCTTTTGATATAAATAAATGTTTCCTCTTGTCAATAAAACGTTTTCATTTATTAAAATAAACCAAGTTTGAACGTGTTGTGCCATAATGGAACAATTCTGATTCGGTGACAGGGTTTGAAGTGACCGTGACATAGAAGCTATTATTACATTGAATAAAGTTGATGAATAAATAAGCAATAAATTTATTCTACTAACGGAAATAGTAATTCTTTAAAAATTCCAATAACTTCGTTGGCAAAATTTTATTCCAATTATCCTAACACTGACTTTTTTAAAAACCAAACCCGAAACAATTAAATCCGAACGTTAAATCATTCTACACACAAAGATTTCGTAAATCCGCCTTTGTAACTTCATCTGCGCTTTCATTTTCCGAATCGACTCAATAAATAAAACTCAACACCGCCATAAAACCTGTAATAATACACTTCGTTAATTTACGAAGCGGCGTAATTGTGCGTAACCTTCGCAAAAAATGATTTGATCGGGCGCGTGTGCGTAAAATATTTATTCACTTTTTCCCTTCATTAAAGCACTATGTTCAAAGTGCACGTTCATTCACCGTGACCGAAAACCGAGATCCTCTGATTTCCACGACCTCGTTACCTGTTGCTCCACCTGGCCGGCTCTGATTCAGGCTTTTTTCGTTTTTCGCAGATCGATGGGAAGATGGTTTTCGACGTGATCCAGCGGATGGAAGACACCGAACCATTTTCCGAAGAGCTCCTCGCTGCGATGAAACGGTTATGGGCGGATTCCGGGGTGCAAGAGTGTTTCGGACGTTCCAACGAATACCAATTGAACGATTCCGCTAAATAGTAAGTTTTGTAGGGGGTTTTGCGTTTGTTAAAGTGGGTGTTTTAGTTTCCTGGATGACTTGGACCGATTAGGTGCCAAAGAATACCAACCCACGGAACAGGATATCCTCCGTACGAGAGTCAAAACGACGGGGATTGTCGAAGTACACTTTTCGTTTAAAAATCTCAATTTCAAGTGAGTGGATTTTGTTAATTCGACGTTTTATTATGCAACACATAATACAGAGAGTGAATTCTGTTTTGCAAACGAAATAAAGTGACATATGTTTGGAATTTTTGTAATTACTGTCGTGGTGTGGTAATCAGGAAATACTTTCCAATATGTATTTAGATAAAGTTTAGGTTATATGTCAATATTGATTGTTGGTAATACTTCCATAAAAAAGAAATAACGTCATGTTGCCACGAATTTCCCGTTATCTAAATCACAAGTAGAGGTATTTATGGGATTACATAACACTCTTTTAGATTAGGTAATCCACCTGCAACGGTTAACCCCAAAAAACATGTGGCGGTTTCCTGGTTCACTGTATTTTGAGTGGTCTCAGTAAAATTAACAATTTGATATTAGCTAACAAATGCAGGGAATTTGTCGGTTTTTGGTAAAATTGGTATAGTGGGGCTTCTAGGCCACTTTTGACGGGAAAAGGATATTTTTATTGTCTCGTGTTAAGCGCGCAGGAGAAAACACATGTACTTTACTCCCGTGATATGCAAATAGCTATTTGCTCAAAGCACAAACAAAATAGAGTTTCTGTTTGTAAACTGTGTCATAAAATAATCACGTGAATGAAGATTACGTGCGTTGTATTTCAAAGTTTTAAATAAAACGTAGGAAACAACTTTGTTTCAGTAGTTGCAGAACACAGATTAGTTTGAGTCAGTTTCTCGTTTATCAACTTGATTTTTACTTACCGAGTGTAAGCTCTGACTACTTTCACGTTTTTTTCGACGTTTTATGGCACCTAGAGTACGAAAAAATAGGTCCCGTTTCCCTCTGCTCTTAACAATCTGAATCTGGGAGAAATAGTAAAAAATTCGTTCCACATTTTAGTGGAGAATGATTTTCAAATTCGTTCTTTTGCTACGTTTAACAACAATAAAATCGAAAGAGACATTGAAAAAGTAAAGAATATGAAAAAACGAAAAATTGTGCTTTAAAATCGAGAAAATGAAAATTAAAAATTTAGGAAACTGAAAAAATTAAAGTTAAAGGAAAATTTATGAAAACGAATATTGAAAAATGGAGAAATTCAAAAATTGAAAAGGTAAAAAAACGAAAAACTGAAATTTCGGTTTTGCGTTGTTCTGATTTTATACTTTTTCTGTTTTCAATGTGAAAATTTTCAGTTCTTGGATTTTTCAGTGTTTCGATTTGCAGTTTTTCAATTTTCAATTTTTCACTTCTTTGGTTTTTGATTTGCAATTTTTCCAGTATTCTTTTTAAATATGTAGATAATAAAATAAGTTTGTAAAATTTTTCACTTTTTCAATTTCACGATTTTGGAAATTTTCCATTTTTCGAATTTTAATTTTTCAGTTTTCCAATCACCCAAAGTTTTTCGAATTTGGAATTTTGACGATTTTATACTTTTTGGAATTTACAATTTTTGGATTTTCCAATTTTTCGATTCATTAATGTTCTCCGATTTTTAAGTTTCTCGGCTTTTAGTTTTTCAATGTATGAATTTTTCGTTTCTTCAGTTTTTCGATTGTCCACATTTTCGCTTTTGCAGTGTTTTGATCTTTCAGTTTTCTTTCAGTTTTTCGAGATTTCAAGTTTTTCCCGATTTTGTAGTTACTCGATTTCTGAATTTTTCAATTTTTCGATTTTTCAGCTTTTCGAATCAAACAAAATTGTAAAATCAAAAATGAAGAAGTATAAATGAAAACTTTGAAAAATCTAAAAAGTGGAAATCAAGAACTTGAATTATGAAAAATTAAAAAAACATATATGCCAAATCGACCACTTTTGAACCCGACTCCTTTCGATTTTGCTAAAATTTTTTGTTTTTTTCTACCCCACTAAAGAGGTTTCTGAGAATTTTTTCAAATTGAAAAATGGCTCTTTTTTTCAAAAATTGAGTTACCGGGAAGTTTTTTTTTCAAAATTTTTGTCTTTAAATGTACTTTGCAGAAAAAAATTGAAAAAAAAATTCATGTGAAGTTCTATGAGATTTTTCAATTTTTTGAGAAAAGCCGTCAATTTCTGGAAGTCCTAATTTTTGGTTTTTTATTTATTTATTTTTTTTTTCCTAAAAAGCGCTGATTTTTCTGGACATAATCTCGTGAAAGCGGGAGCGGGCCGAATTTGTTTTTTTTTTTCAATTAAAAAGAAAAATTTTTAACTCGATTTTAACTTTTTTTATTTTGTAAAATCCAAATATTGAAAATTAAGAAAAAGAAATAGGGAAATCGGATAATTGGAAATCCAAAGATTACAATATTGAAAAATTTATAATTGGGAAATAGGGGAATTGAAAAATCAAAAATGGAAAATTTGATAAAATAAAAATTAAAAAATCGGGAAAATGAAAAGTAGAAATGAAGAACTTCACAAATTGAGGAAACGAAAAATTAAAAATTAAGAAACGGAAAAAAATTACGAAACGGAGAATTTTTTCAAAATGAAAAATGGCTCTTTTTTTCAAAAATTGAGTTATCGGGAAGTTTTTTTTCAAAATTTTTGTCTTTAAATTTATTTTTCAGAAAAAAAATTGGAAAAAAAATGTATGTGAAGTTTTATGAGATTTTTCAATTTTTTGAGAAAAACCGTCAATTTCTGGAAATCTTAATTTTGGGTTTTTTTATTATTTTTTTTTTTCTAAAAAAAAAAGCGTTGATTTTTCTGAACATAATCTCGTGAAAGCGGGAGTGGGCCGAATTTGCGTTATTTTTTTTTCAATTAAAAAGAAAAATTTTTAACTCGATTTTAACTTTTTTTATTTTGTAAAATCCAAATATTGAAAATTAAGAAAAAGAAATAGGAAAATCGGCTAATTGGAAATCCAAAGATTGCAATATTGAAAAATTTGAAATTGGGAAATAGGGGAATTGAAAAATCAAAAATGGAAAATTTGATAAAATAAAAACTAAAAAATCGGGAAAATGAAAAATAAAAACAAGAACTTCACAAATTGAGGAAACGAAAAATTAAAAATTAAGAATCTGAAAAATCAAAAAATGGAAAACTATGTTATCGAAAAATTGAAAAAGTCAAGAAACTAAAAATTTGAAAAGATTGAAATTGAAGAAAAGGAAAAATATGAAACCGGAACATTGAAAAATGAAAACATTGAAAAGTTTAAAAAATGAAAAAACCAAAAATTGTGATATCAAAAAATTGGTCAAGGGTAAATATCATAAATCCAGACTTTTCCAAAAAATTATAAAATTAATTTTGCGAATTTTTCCATTACACAATTTTGTGATGACTACATACACATTTTTGCAAGGACACGTACGTCAATTTGGATATGTGCAGTGTAATACGAAATAATAATACGATTCAAAATAAAAATATAATTTAAATAAATAATCCTTTCGTACTAAAATATTTTAAAATCATATTCCTAAATTGTGGGGAAAAGGGAGTAAGTCGTTCTGGAATGAATTAATAAATTTCATTAATTTTTTTGAGTCACCCTGTATAAGTAATTCTAAAACCTGAGTCCACTGATGGACCACAAATATAGGGTCACAATATTTTGCATATTTCAAAGAGGATTTATTAGGCAAAATTTTGAGATGACGTCATCAATTTTTTGGAAGGGGATAAACGAATAAATTTTGATTAACGATTTATCACGATTATGATAACTACGTTTTCAAAATTTCAGAGTATTCGGTTGTGCAGCATTCGTTATCCCAATTAAAAACTTTTATAAAGAACTTGAAAAAATCTTTTGAGTTTTTAGTTTTTTATTTCTTACGAGTTTGAAAAAGTCTTCAGTGCCGGAGTGTTTTTTTTTTTTTTAATTCGGGAGAGGAAAATTTTGACCTCCCTGTTTTTGAGTTAATTTTGGGACCCCCTTCTAGCCCCGCCCACACGCCGTCTCTTTTCTTTGAGGGTATCTCATTTGTTAAAATCACTTCTATCTTAGCAGGTATTAGCCCAGCCCACCCACCCCCTCTTTTCTTGGAAAGTATGTCATGTGCCAAAATCGATCTTATTTTAGCATTTGCATAATCAAATTTTATAATTTTTAGAAAAACCTGGATTTGTATTATTATATTTCAGAGGCGAGGGACATTCTGTCGAAATAACCTTCGACCATTTTTTTTTGTTTGTTTGTTTTAATTCGGGAAACTTGGGTACCCATGGTGTATTATTTTGGGAGTCCATAGAGATTTTTTTTGTAAATTATTTAAAAGAATTTTGGGAGATTTTGGTGTTCTTGTTTTGTAAAATTCTAACCTACCTGTTTTTGAGTTAATTTTGGGACCCTGTGTGTTTTTTTTTTTTTTTCTTGAAAATTTATGACAATCTTGAGGTTCTAGGTATTCCTGTTTGGAAAGAATTTCGAAGTGCTTTCCTCCAGTGTTTTTTCTTATAACAATTTAATTAAATTCTCAGAGGATACGTCATTTGCTAAAATCAGTCTTATTTAAGCAGGGTATCTCATTTTTTTGCTAAAATCACTCTTATCTTAGCAGGTACTAGCACCGCCCACCCACCCTCTGTTTTCTTGGAAGGTATGTCATTTGCCAAAATCGATCTTATTTTAGCAGGTACTAAGCCCGCCCACCCGCCCTCTATTTTCTTACAGGAACCTCATTTGCCAAAATCAGTCTTATTTTATCAGCTACTATCCCCACCCGCCATCTCTTTTCTTAGAGGGTATCTCATTTGGCAAAATCAGTCTTATCGTAGTAGGTACTAGCCCCGCCCACCACCGTCTCTTTTCTTAGAGGGTATGTTATTTACCAAAATCAGTTTTATCTTAGCAACTACTGATGACTAACTTCTACAAAAAATGATCAAAATTTGGAAACATTACGAGCTTATTTCTATGCCCAAGGCCCGGTAAATAGTCAGTGAAAAAATCCCCCCCCCCAATTGATGACGTCATCTTACTACAATTTGGTGGAATTTCATACTCCTGCACTTGTTGTCCATGAATCCGTGTTCAGTTTTTACCCCAGATATCCAGATTTTTGAAAAGAGAATCAAAATTGAACAGCAGCATTTTACAATTTAATTTTGAAATTGTGTTTGAAAAATTTCACAGTGGAGGAGCACTAAAAAATTTAGCTTTTGGAAAAGTTGCCAGAAAATGCACAAAAAAAATCTCAAAGTGCTAATTCAAAAAATGTAAAGGTTTTATTGATTTTTGAAACATTCGGTTTAAAAACCAAATTTTTTAATAATCCTGAAAATTACCATATTCAATTGGTGATCCTGCAAATATGGTAGGAATTTTCAGAAAAATGAAGTCATAAAATAATTTAATAGGGTTGGGATTCTACAAAAAAATTTTCGAAGGTGGTCGAAAAATGATCAAAAATGTCAAAGCTATGGAAAAATTGAGCTTTTGGAAAAATGTTCTAAAAATTTACAAAAAAATTTTTCATATTTTAGCATATTCTAGGTTTTACCAAACATCGAAAACATCAGATTACCACACCTAAAAAGAAATTTAAGACTAAAGTACAAGTAAATTGACAACTCACCTAGCAACAAAAATTTGATAGAAAAAAAAATACCAAACATTTGCAAAGAAAAGTGAGGGTTAAATTTCGTCTATAACTTTTTGAAACATTATCCCGAAGAAGTAGTTATCATATAATGACGTCATCAACTTTCCGGGGAGATGAGTAAGTAAATTTAAACACATTTCTAAAATTTGTAAGTTATACCAAGGTTTCAAAGAAAATCGCTTTGTTATAATAATAATAGTTGTAATATTACGTGAGTGTAAAGTTAATGAATTTTGATATGAGATGACGTCATCATTTTCTAAAGGGAAGGAATAAACAGATTTTGCTATTTTCATAATATTTTTAAAGTACAGTTAAAAATCGCCATCTTGTGGTGAACGACGCGAATTTCCCGGCAGCAAACGTCGTGGAGGATCGATGATCATGTTGGGCCACAAAATTTTATTAACACACAAAAATAGAGTCGGCGTCAATTTACTTACATTCTGAAAAAGCCTCACTGACAATTTTTATTAAACAGCAATCAGATCCGAAACAAGTGATATTTTAAGAACCAGGAATAAATTTCTGTTGATGTTCCAATTTTGCCACGAAGTGTATTATTCTGTCAATATAACTCACTTACTACCCGATGGAGTTTTAGGCCTCGCATTCGGTGTCTTTCCGACTGCACCAATCTTCATTTTGTGTCCGAGCCGAACTTAGCTCATAATACTCCACGACAATTTATTGTTTCTCGTTCCAGATTGTTCGACGTGGGCGGTCAGAGGTCGGAGCGAAAGAAGTGGATTCACTGTTTCGAGGACGTGACGGCAATTATTTTCTGCGTAGCGATGAGCGAATATGATCAAGTTCTGCACGAGGACGAAACGACAGTAAGTAGTCGAGTTTCGAAAAGAGTAATGACTTTCTTAACGACCCCGCACACACGTATGCGACCACCCCCGATAAAATGATGCATCGCGATGTTATAAATTTTCATTCGGCGTTTTCCCTAAACGCGTTTTAAGTGCCAGCAGGAAATTGGCTGCAGATAATGATAACGAATTGTGCGTTCGTTAAACGCTGGAATAGGAAATGTTTCATAACGTGATTATGTGACAGGGGTGAGTTTTATAGGCGTTTCTGCATTATTAATAGAAACGTCAAACTAATTTTAATGGAATTACATATTTCAAAGGGAGTTTTTCGAGCGAGGTTATTTCTGTAGGACGCATTCATTTTCCGAGTTAATTTGGCGTTTTTCTCATTTCATTCCCGGCTCTAAATAGCTAAATTTGATTTGTGAAGTGCCGGAGAGGGCTCTTCGGGTTTGAAGTAGCACGTTTCAGGTGACGTCATCGTTGGGAATTAATTTTTCGAGTGGGGTGGGAAAAAGGCGGGGGCGGCGAAGGCTTTTATTCACGTCATTAGAGTAATGCGGAGATATATTTGGCGGTCGCCGATTTTCGGGCAATAAAGAAATTAAAGTACTTTTCCGTCGAAGCCGTCGAGGTGTCGACGTCAAGCCGCAAGCCGCCCAGCAACCACCTTTGAAATAAACTCGATGCAGTTGAGAGGTAAATAAATAAAGCCGTTATTTGGAGAATTTTAAATATAGGTCGGGGGTTACTTGATGTCGGGACACTGTGATAATAACGTAATCGGTTATTAACATTAGCCACATTTACATTTTTAATTTTTGCGTATTATTACAATCGATCGTGGAGTTTAAACGTTTTAAAATTTATATGTTTATGCGGCTGCGGTATAAACGTTTATTGACAAGCATTTAGGGGATCTGAAAATAACGAGGTCAATGCTACATTATTTAGTACAGATGTATTCGAAAATTTGAGTGACTTGTGTAGTGTTCTGTATGCTCTACACTCTTATTTGTTTGATTTTTTTTCAATTTTCTCAGTTCTTTTGTTGTCCTCGATTACAGTTCTTTGAACGTTTTAGAACATCTTTGGACTGTCACAATTTCTTTAGTGATCTGATTTTTGATTAGAACTTTCTATAAATTTTCCCAATATCAATGATTCGTTTTCAGTCGACATTTTCATAAGATGTTACTTTAGTTCAGTCACAATTTTTCAGTCATTTAAACTAATCCTGAACTTAAATTAAAATTCCAGTGTCTCTTTTATCCAAATAGGATTCTTTCATTTTTCTCGATTTTTCTCTAACTGCAACATTTCTAACCTTAATCTTCATTGGTTCTTGATTTTTTTGTTGTGTAACGTCAGGAGTTCGTCAAGGGTCTCGATTTGAACCTATTTCTTTTTTCTTTTTAATTAGTGACATTGCAATATCGACCATTTGGAAGCAAAATTTATTTATTGATTAAGGAACCTTAACACAAGTTCCCTCTATAAAGCGTCTAATAAACAGTTTATAATAAAATCATTAGTTATTTTTAACTAACTCCTGAAAGTACTTAAGGATTTTCAATCTTCCTGACACTGAAATAAATTCGTAGAACTGAAACTTAAAGTTTAGGAAAAACGTGATCAGTTTCAGCTGGTATCACAAAAAATGTTGCTTGAAAATGTCAAAATGAACATAATTGACAATTTTTATGTTGGTTGGCAGCAGTGTTAACATGTCAGTTCACAATTGTCAGTTTTGACAATCAGGTATGTCATTATAAAATTTTAAATATGTTGCTAACGTTACAAAAATCACAATCTTTAATAGTCACCGGGTATTAAAAACTCAAACAGTCCAATTGATCACGCTGTATATACCGGGTGTCTGGAAAATGGCGGCTAAAAAATTCTTTATGACGTAGATTACGAAAAAAACGTAATTTTATAAAAGTAAAATTGGCAACACTGCACGCACCTAATGCGTGAATATCTCCAGCTTACCTTCTGATTTCTTTCTAGTACCTGCTAAGATAAGACTGATTTTGGCAAATGAGATACCTTCTAAGAAAAGAGAGGGTGGGTGGGCGGGGCTAGTACCTGCTGAGATAAGGGTGATTTTGGCTAATGACGTATCCTCTAAGAAATTTAATTAAATTATTACAAGAAAAGACACTAGAGGCTCCAAAACCCTTTCAAATTCTTTCCAAACAGGAATACCTAGAACCTCAACTTAAACTATTACAATATCCTTATTAAAACTTATTATAGTGTAATAAAATTAATTAACAATGCTAAACACAGTTCTTTGAGATATCGTTTGTATATATGTTAAAGAGGAGCGGAGGAAACATGCTGAGAACGATTTAGTAAATAAGAATCCATCAAACCTTTGAGAGGACGTGAAAGTCCAAGATTTTCATGTTTTTTAAGTAAATTATTATGATTTATTCTGTCAAAAGCTTTGAAGAAGTCCATTTATACGCAATCAACTTGACCCCGTCTATACAAAATATCACCTTGAAATTAATTATGCTGGACAGTTGATAAAGTAATGCACAGTATGTTAAAAATTTTACGATTATCTTTTTTTTTTTAATAACCTGAGCCCCACCCACCCACCCCGCCTCCATTTCAGTGATTCATTTTATCTGGTTTGAATAAAAAGTGGATCTTATACTGAACGTAAATAAAATCGTTTGAATGAAAGACTGATTCTGGAAAACGACATACCCTCAAAGAAAATAGAGGGCGGGTGGGCGGGGCTATTGCTTTCTTATAAAAGACTGTAGAAAATGTTAAACTTATCCCCGCCCACCCACTCATTCTCTAATTTTGTTCTTCTGAAATAAGAAATAAATCTTATTACAAATAGTATACCGGAAAAACTACGATTAGCCCTTCTTTTTCCTACTTTTAACAGCCTATGTTCTATTAGTTTCCATTCCCACTCTACAAAAGAACACATAAAAATTAACCCCGCCCACCCACCCCGCCTCTATTTCAGTGATTCATTTTATCTAGTCTGAATCAAAAGTGGGTCTTATACTGAATAGAAATAAGATCGTTAAAATGAGAACAGGGTGGGCGGGGCTAGTCCTTGCTAAGATAGACTGATTGCTGAGAAAATTTCAAATTTCGGATTAAAAAATTGAAATTTTGTTTAAGTTGCCCAAAAATTTACAAAAAAATCTGAGAAATAAATTTTGTCGAGCTCCATCTAAAACTAAATGTGATACGTTAATGGTCCCGAGTCCAGATTGAGGGCTAGCATCGAAAATCCTGTTTACCCAGAAATGATGGGTTTATAAATGAGAAGAATCCTAAAACTATACCACGACTGCTTTTCGAAATATTCAATTTCAAATTTGATTTTTTATAATATCGCAAACATCAAACTTTTTCTTTTTAGCAGGCACTAACCCCACCCCCTCTTTTCTTAAAGGATATCTCATTTGCGAAAATCACTCTTATCTTAGCAGGTACTAGCCCCGCCCACCCGCCCTCTTTTTTCTTAGAAGGTTTGTCATCTGCCAAAATCAGTCTTATACTGGCAGTTACTAGCCCCGCCCACCCGCCCTCTCTTATCTTAGAAGGTATCTCATTTGCCAAAATTAGTCGTATCTTGACAGCTACTAGTCCCGTCCACCCACCCTCTCTTCTAAAAGCTGCTAAGATAAGGCTGATTATGGCAAATAACATACCCTCTAAGAAGAGAGAGCGTGGGTGGGTGGGGCTAGTACCTGTTATGATAAAACTAATTTTGGGAAATGATATACAGTATAGGAAAACAGGGGCGGGTGGGTGGCTCTAGTACCTGTTAAGACTGATTTTGGCAAATGGGATACCCTCCAAGAGAAGAGGGGGTGGGTGGGCGGAGCTAGTAGCTGCCAAGAAACTCAAATCGAAAAATTGCAAAATGTAAAAATTGAAACGGAAGTGACTTCTGGTCGAAAATCGGTCGAAATTTGCATAAGATAAGACTGATTTTGCCATATCACATACTCTCTAAAAAATAGAGGGCGGGTGGGAGGGGTTAGTACTTGCTAAGATAAGACTGATTCTGGCAAATGACATACCTTGTAAGAAAAGAGAGGGTGGGTGGGCGGGGCTAGTAACCTGCTAAGATAAGACTGATTTTCGCAAATGACATCCTTTAAGAAAAGCGAGGGTGGGTGGGTGGGGCTAGTGCCTGCTAGGATAAGATTGATATTGGCAAATGACATACCCTCTAAGAAAATGAAGAGTAGAGGGTATGTCATTTGTTAAAATCAGTCTAATTTTGGCAAGTACTAGCTTTTGAGTTTTTTTCTAAGAAAATAGAGGCTAGTACCTGCTAAGATAAAACTGATTTTAGAAAATGACGTATCCTCTAAGAAATTTAATGAAATTATTAATAGAAAAGATACTTGATGGGATCAAAATCAACAAAAAAATCTACTTTGCTAAATTTCAAAAGTGCTGCAGAAATTTTCAAATTTCGTATTAAAAACTTGAAATTTTGTTGAAGTTGCCCAAAAATTTTGAAAAAAATGTGAGATAAATAAAAATCTGATAGATAAATTTTGTCCAACTCCATCTAAAGATATTATACGTTAAAGATCCCGAGTCCAGACTGAGGGCTAGCATCGAAAATTCGAAGCGATCTTGACAGTTTTATAAAGAACGTTTTTAGTAGGATTCTGTACAAAACTTGGTGGCGAAAAATTATGAAAAAAATCGTGTTTACCGAAAAATGATGGAACTATAAATGAGAATAATCCCAAGTCTATATCACCACTGGGATTTGGAGATATGTATTCGGTTTCAAAGTTGAATTTTTATAACATCGCAAGAATCACATTTTTTGACGATTTTTGAAAAAATGGTAGGAATTTTCGAAGAACTAGAGTGATAAAAAACTTCACGGAATCGAACGCAACAAAAAAACCTCCTTCACAAAATTTTAAAAGTGCTGGAGAAAAGTTCAAAAATTTCATATGTTAAAAAGTTTAAATTTAGTGGAATTGCTGAATCCAAAATTATGCTATGTTAATAATAGGGAAGAATAATCCTAAGTCAATACCACCACTGGTTTTCGAAACACAAAAAAAATCATTTTTCAAAATTTTCCAGTATTTTTTTTAACACGACAGTAGAATTTTAGCTTTTTGTTTCCAGTTCTTTAAACTTCTCGTGCACCAAATTTTTCAAAAAAACGGGGTTCCACAATTAAGTCAAAAACAACTGAGATCAGAATTGTTTGCTTCTTTTTCTTAATATATTTAGTTTTTTTCAACAACACGATATTTAAAATATGTTTCACAGGGTAATTCTTATCGAGAAATGAGGATTTTGTAATTAAGCTCCGTCTCCGACGCACAACAAATAAAAAAAGTAATCAGAATTGAGATGGGGGCGGGCGGGCGGGTTTTATATTTAAACCTTAATTCTGATTAATTTTTTATTCGTGGTGAGCCAGGGGCGGAGCTTTGCAAAATCCTAATTTCTTTGCAAGAAATTACCAAGTGACACATGTTTTAAGTATTGTGTTGTTGAAAGAAATTATATATTAAGAAAAAGAAGCCAATGGTTAAGCCCCGCCCAGCCGCCCATATCTCGGTTATGATGAATTTTTCGTTTGTTATCACATCCAGGGGCGGAGCTTAATTGCAAAATCCGTACTTGTCTAGAAAAATTTACCATTTTAAACATGCTTTTAAGTTTCTGGTTGGGAAAAAATGACTACGTATATTAAGGAAAAAGAAGGCTAAATATAAGCACCGCCCACCCGCCCTTATCTCAATTGTGATGTTTTTTTTAATCGTTCTAAATCGGAGGCGGAGCTTAATTGCAAAATCCTTATTTTTTCCAAGAAATTACCATGTAAAACATATTTTAAGTATTGTGTTGGTGGAAGAAAATTGTATAATACATATTTAGAAAAAGAAGTGAATGATCAACCCCCGCCCACCCGCCCATATTTCAGTTGTGATGAATTTTTCATTTATTATCACATTCAGGGGCGGAGCTTCATTGCAAAATCCATTTTTGTCTACAAAAGGTCGTGTAAACGTGCCGCCTCTCAAATTTGAACTATACTAAATGCCCAAAGACTAAAACTGATTCATTACAATAAAAAGAAACTAATTTATTGTGGTTAAACATCACAGTAATGTTGAAAATGTTCACAATTTTGTTCAAGGCACATGTTCACCCTCTTTTTTATTTCAAAAATGTTGTGTGATCCTTTCGTCAATGCCCATTGTTCAATTTCATCTCAGGAACTCCTGACTGCTGAGGAAATTTTGTCAGAGATGTTTGCGGATTCTGCTCGTCGTCTCAAATCATCAACAACTTCCTCAGATACTGACTTACAAGCGGTTACAGAATACACTCACTTTTCTATCAATGTTTTGTTCAACAGAATAAATCATTTTCAGTCTTCCCTTCCTAGCATAAAAACACAATTTTCGTACGCAACCACCAAGAGTTTTGAAACAACTGTTTTGTTGTTTTGAGCTTGGATGAACGAGAATTACTGTAATTCACACTTAAAAAACGTTAAAACAATAAAAACGATGACTTTAAATGGCATTAATGACAAGTGAGAGCTGTCATAATGAGGCAATCCATGGCCAACTACGCCTTTAGAATCATTTATAAAAACCCTGTAAAAAATGCAATTCTCAACCTAATTTTATAATTATAACTTATCTAAGAAACTGAAATTGTTTAATTTGTTTTGGTTCAGGAACGAAGAAATTTTTCTAGTAAGATTTACTTTCTGTACATTATTTCTGGTTAAAATACATTTTAAGCTACTTCTTACCCTCTAATAAAATGGTGTTTTGTTCCCGATGTTAAAGTTTTCGGTGCAAAAGGGTGCCATGAACTCTTCAACAGTCCAAATTTTCCAAATAAACGCTTGCTCTGAATTATCAAATTCCTTTTTGATTTTCTGCTTCCATTAATCTAACGGCTGTTAAAATACTGTTGGCTGTAATACCAACCTTTTCGTAGTGGATTTGATCTGCATTTGTCATAGTTACAGTGACATTTATAGACACCCACTTGATTTTGGTTTCGCAAAATGAAAACTTTGTGGAACACTTTTACGAAAAATTTTAACAACCAACCGTGAATTTCCTGTGTACAAGAAATTACTTTATAAATGAAAGAAGTGTTAATTACTTACATTAGCACCTGTCTAAAGGGTGCCGCCTAAACATTTTTTTTAATCGAGTGACATTTCAGCGGTCGTAAATAAACTCCGAGTTTCTGTGAATTTGCCAGTTTTTTCAATTAATTTTCAAACAGAGTAAAAATAGTAAAATAATCCTTTGTCGCTAATCTTTACAGCGAGATTTACTACCTGTCGCAAACTGGTCTGTCGTTGAGTTTGACAGCTATATTATAGTTCCTGTTTCGACAAAGCGGCACACTTTGATTCGAGGATTTATTAATATTTATAAATATTTTTTGAGTTAAAATAGCCTCAAAGTACACGTATTTCAATGTTTTTCTTGATTTATGCGGAAAAGTTATGTTCACTTTAGCACATAATGTCAAAATGACTTCGCAGCGACTATAACTAATTATATTTTTGGTGTATAAATAACAATTCATTATATCTGGTAAGTATTAATGTGACGTCATCTGCTTATTGTGCTTATCGTGCTTATTAGCTTTTGGGGTGTTGGCACAATACTATAACCAATGCTGTCTCAAGAAAAAGCAAAACTTAAATTATTAACACCATTTTGAGAATTAACACTTATATAACCTAACTCAGCTTGATAAAAGCAGTAATTTTACTAATTCGCTAGTCATTATTCTATTTATAAATGTAAATAGAAGCAGTCACGTAGGGGCTTCATAAGTTTTTTTACCGGAATTTAATATGCAGGAACCCTAGTCTGACGTGTCAACGGGAAAATTACAAAAACCCAAAATAAATGAAAAATCGCTCGTTTTCACTGAATACACAGTGATAAAATCTATCTATACGTTAATTAAAACCTGAGGTTGGTATTACAGTTAATGCCAATTTAAGACCGCCTTAGTAGTAAAGGGTAACGAGGAATTTTGAATTAATTAAACACACATTTGTGTGCAGCTGCTACACCTACGATTTTAAAAGTTTCATTGAAACAAAAAACGTTGAATTAATAAAATTTTATCAGTGTGAAAGTTGTCGCAGCTTAAGACGACAAGCGCCTAAAGTTTTGTATATGTAAAACAAAATCGCTATCGTGTTGGAGAAACCGCTGTGCTTAAAAATGCTTTCTGTTTTAGAACCGGATGCAGGAGAGTTTAAAACTGTTTGATTCGATCTGTAACAACAAATGGTTCACGGACACATCTATAATTCTCTTCCTTAATAAGAAAGACTTGTTCGAGGAGAAAATTAGGAAGTCGCCTTTAACAATATGTTTCCCAGAGTATGCAGGTGAGTTGAATTTAGTGGAGTCGATGTCGTGTCTAATTTTGAATGTTTTTTTTTGTGTTGTTGGTAAAGGTGCGCAAGAATATGGCGAGGCGGCAGCGTACATCCAAGCACAATTCGAAGCGAAGAACAAATCGACAACAAAAGAAATCTACTGCCATATGACCTGTGCCACAGATACGCATAATATCCAGTTTGTATTCGATGCAGTCACTGATGTGATCATAGCTAATAATTTGCGCAACTGCGGCCTCTACTGAGAAACTTCTAATTACTATTCCTTTTCATACGTTATTGACTTTAGTACATGGATAAACCAAAAAAATAAAACAGACATGGTAGTGCCGGTGTATTTGTCAAACGTTACGGTATTTCTCGTTTAGGGGAGGTCCCGGCAACGTTATCGTTATAATTGTACCAAAGTTGAGTGAGATGTTGAAATGTGTTCTTTTATGTTGATCGATGAGTTGCCGAGTTTGATGAAAATTACTACAACAGACACAATAAGAGGGTAGCTTTCCTGTGCTTGATAATAACATCGGTTGACAATGTTGAATTTTATTTTTCATTCTAAATATCGTATTTATTGCACAATGTTCTGTTAATATTTACGCACATTTTTTAATGTAATTTTAACAATCAACATCGCGGATCTTTGCACAAGTTGATTTTAAGAGGAAATTATATACAAGATACTGTGCCATTAAGAAGAGATTGCATTTATCAACGGAATTATAGTAGTTGCTTTTCTTCTTTCGACCTAAGTTATTGTTTTTATTTTATTATATTATATGGTTCGATGTTATTTATGTTTGTATAATTTTAATAAAAGAACAAGAGAATGAACTATATTGAATAGGTTTAGTTACCAAATTTGTAAAAAAAACTAAGTATGTGTTAATGATAATGTGGAACCAAATTATTACTGTCTCGGCTCAAGTAGCGTTCATCTACAATATGATAAACATTATTATAATAAACATTCTAAGTATAAAGCCTACTTGTGTGTAATTAGTTTCGTAAAAGTATAATATCAAAACGAACTTATTTTTGTAGATTTTGTTATTATACTTTACTGTCCGAATTGAATCAGGAAAATATGGACCTTTTAATGAACAGATGCAAATATAATGTAATACATTAATGTGTACATAAAATTATATGGCGCTTTAACAGATTTAAAAGTAGCTTCAGTACCATTTCGTAGTGTAGCCAGTGCATTTACTTTGATCATACTGTAATTTAATGACATGCATTTTTAAGTGATACATTCCTCGAATATTTTGTATCTCCCATTTTACGCTTTTTTTTTACAAAAACAAAAAGGGGATTTGTAAGTGTATCTAATTACTCACTCTCTATTCACTCAAGCAGAAGTTATTTGAATACAATCATCCATTTTTAGAGCAAAAACTAGTAATTGTCGTATCAGTATATCAAAAATAACGTAAAATACATAACAACTCCAACAAGTGGGCACTAAACATCGTTTCGTTGATATTCCGTTCCTTCATTTGCGTTTCGCCGATTTTGTTGTGTATTCTATGTTAATTTTGCGCATACAACCAAACTGTTATGTAAAAAAATGTAGTATTTAATATCTGGTAGTATCCTATTGAGTCATGATTGAATCTCTAGTCAGTTTATTTTCTAATAATTGTGACTACGGCATTATAATTTTTTTGTAATTTATTTCAAAAATAAAACCAAGATGTAACCCACAATTGTTTTAATACAGGTTTAAGTTGTGCGACATCTACACAGCTAGAGAAAAAGTAGTCCAAAATGGACAATTAAACTTGTAGGTAGGGTGCGGATTACTATACAATTTATCTGGATGCACAAAACGTGGACGAACTATAAGATAAAAGAACGTTGCTTTCGTATTAACCAAACGATTTTTCACACATTTTTGTACTTCGACGTCTCGTGGATTTAAGACATATCTCTTTCACTTGAAGTTCGGTTTTTCGATCAGTTCATACTTTCGTCGATTTGCTCATAACACCCGTACAAGTTTTTATTGTAATTAAACCATGAGACTGTCCAAGTTTTAGCCACATGTACACGCATACTATTGACTTGTTGCTTTGTTGTGAAATAAGACTAATTATAAGAAGATTATTAAAGGTACGGCGCTAGTTAATGCAGTGAATGATGTACATGTTTTCCAATATCAGTAAATGTAACATTCATAACTGAGGTTGTTCTCTCATTGTATGTTTGTTTCTCTGTGATGTGAATACGATAAATAAATTTTACCCATTTCGAATTTTTATTTGCATTTCCACGACTTTCCATAAAAAACATTTACACGAAAATTGTGACAGTTCCCGGCGCATCCACCAAATTTGAACACCACCAAACTCGAACTGAAAACATTGAGGATATCACACACAACTCATAAAAGTCGAGTAAATTAAACTAAAAGTGAAAACTTTGCATAATTATTAGGCTCTGAGTTATTCAAAACCGGCTGTTATGAAGAAAAAACGACTCTAACAGTTATCATGGTTGTATGTAATACAATAAATGTTCAAAGCTACCTACGTTTTCAGATTCAAAAACTAAAACCGAAATATGAGTGTAACAAAAAAAATTGTATGGAAAATTTGAAATAAATTGCGCACCTGTATAGAGAAGCGAATCTTGAACTATAAACAAATCTGAACTCGTACTAGGAGTTTGACAGTTTTTGTAACGACATTTTCGTTTCATTCTGTCAAAATTCACAGTGTTGCCACGTGTACCTGCTTGTGAGGTAAGTTGCGGTGTTGGAAGTTCTTTGGTATCTGAACTCCAGGGGCGGCTTGTCCTCTGAGGCAAGTGAGGCCTCATGAATTTGCGCCGTGTTATTATTTTTATTGTTTCTGGCTATTAAAATGTTTTTTTTCTAATATTTTAAAAATAACGTGAAAAATTATTGTTTATTCTTATCATGGTAGCTGGATAGAAAAATCTGAGAGAATTTAAGGTTTATTCAAATTCTTTCATTTTTTTACGATTCTTCTTTTCGAATTCTTTGGATTCTCTCTGATTCTCGCTTTCGCATTTATCGGATTCTTTCGAACTTTTTCGGATTCCTTCGAACTTTTCAGATTCTTTCAAAGACATGATCAGAAATACGCAAGATTCTTTAAGCTTTTTTGGTTCTGTTCAGATTGTTTCAGATCCTTACAAACCCTTTCAGATTTTCCTAGATTCTTTTAGATTTTGCTAGATTCCACAAGGGAATATGAGAAAATCTCGAAGAATCTGGAAGAATCTGAACGATTTTGTAGGACTGTGAAGCGTCTGAGGGAACCTAATAGAATTTGAGAGACTCGGAAAGAAACTGAAGGAATTTGAAAATCAAATCTAAAAAAATTTGAGGGAACCTGTGAAGCTTGAAGAATTTTGAAGAATTTCAAAGAATTTAGAAAAATATAAGAGAATCTATAAAACAAAAATGGAGAAATCTGAAAGAATTTGGAAGAATATGCAGGGATCTGAAAAGATGTCAATAGAACTGAAAAATTTGAAAGAATTGGAAACAATCCGGAAGCATCGAAAAACATTTGGGACAATCAGAAAGAATAAAAAAAAAATCAAAATCAAAAAAACTGAAACAGAAAATCGAAAGAATCTGAAATCATCGAGATCGGAAAGAATCTGAGAAATTAAGAAAGTATTTAACGGAATCTGAGGAAACCTGTGCGAATCCGTGGGAATCTTGAAGGATCTAGAAAAATCTGGAAGAATTTGGAAAAATCTGCAGGAATCTGAAAGTATCTGCACGGTTTTAAAACCACCTGAATAGAATTCAAAAATTTGAAAGAATCGTCAAGATTCATGACGATGTCTTTGAAAAATTTTGAAAAAATTCGAAAGAATGTGGAACAATCCGTACGCATCCGAAAAAATCCAAAAGAATCCGAAAGGAAGAATCTTAAAGAATGGAAAGAATCCGGAATAATTAGCAAGAAAAAAAATCGAAAAAATCTGAAAGAGTTATTCACAAAGGAAATGAAAGAATCTGAGAGCATTTGACAAAATCAGGAGGAATTTGAGGAAATCTGAGAGAAATTGCGAGATTGGAAAGAATCTGAGAGATTCGGAAAGTATTTAAAGGAATCTGAGGAAACCTATGGGAATCTGTGAGAATCTCGAAGAATCTAGAAAAATCTGGAAGAATTTGGAAAAGTGTGCAGGGATCTGAAAGTATCTGCACGGTTTTAAAACGACCTGAATAGAATTCAAAAATTTGAAAGAATCGTGAAGATTCCTGACGATGTCTTTGAAAAATTCTGAAAAAATTTGCAAGAATGTGAAACAATCCGTAAGCATCCAAAAGCATCCGAAAAAATCCAGAAGAATCCGAAAGGAAGAATCTTAAAAAAGGAGCAGAATCTGAAATAATCAGAAAGTATAAAAAAAACAAAAAAATCTAAAAGAGAGAATCAGAAAGTAAATGAAAGAATCTGGAGGAATTTGAAGGAATCTGAAAGAAATTGCGGAATCGGAAATAATTTAAAGGAATCTGAGGAAACCTGTGGGAATCTGTGAGAATCTCGAAGAATCTAGAAAAATCTGGAAGAATTTGGAAAAGTGTGCAGGGATCTGAAAGTATCTGCACGGTTTTAAAACGACCTGAATAGAATTCAAAAATTTGAAAGAATCGTGAAGATTCCTGACGATGTCTTTGAAAAATTCTGAAAAAATTTGAAAGAATGTGAAACAATCCATAAGCATCCAAAAGCAACCGAAAAATCCGAAAGGAACAGTCTTAAAAAAAGGAATTAATCCGGAATAATTAGAATGAATAAAAAAAATCGAAAAAATCTGAAAGAGATAATTATAAAGAAAATCAAAAAATCTGAAAGCATTTGAAAGAATCTGGAGGAATTTGAGGGAATCTGAGAGACGATTCTCAAAAAAATCGAAAGAATGTGAAACAATCCGTATGCATCCAAAAGCATCCGAAAAAATCCAAAAGAATCCAAAAGGAAGAATCGTAAAAAGAGGAAAGAATCTGGAAGAATCTAATGGAATCAAAGAAAATTGAGGCAATATGAAACTAAAAATCGGAAAGAATTAGGAAGAATCAGAGGGGATCGAAAAGAAAGACTAATCGAGGTAAACCTCACAGAATTTAAGAGAATCTAGTAAAATGTAGAAAAATCTGGAACAGTCTGCAGGGATCTGAAGGATCCAAAGCGATCTTGAAAAATTCTGAGGAAATCTGAGGGAATTTTCAGGGATATTGAGAGAATCTGAAAGAATAGAAAAAAAATCTGTAACAAAGTGTACTTTTCCTAGGAACTTTCGCATTAATTTTTCAACTAATTGAATTATTATTGATACTAAAATTTATGGAAAACTTGATATTTATATTTTACCGTTGAGACGTTACAAATGAAATGAAATGAATGATCAGCAGAAATTAAGGCAATTTTTTTTCGAAATTTTTAATATTAAAATTAATCAAATACGAGTTAGATTTTCTGCTATAGAAATATTACACATTTTTGACATTCTGAGCCGCCCCTGCTGAACTCTATAATACTCACATAAATTCAGTAACTTGTAATATCACAGTACGAAGCAAGTGTTTAGGTTAGTTAAATTGCAATCAGAGAATACTAAGATACGACAGTTGCAAGGTCAGTGAAACGATTTTAAGCAACTGTAATCTTTATCAGAGAACACATAAGAACTAGGATAAAAAAAATAGTGCTAATATTTTCAACCAAAACACAATAAAATCCGTGTTAAATATTCCCTACATGATCCATTCCCACATTTAAAATCTCCTATGACTCGAAAATACAGAGGATAACCCATCAACATTTTTATATTGAAAAAGTACCTACAAAACACGAATTTTTTACAGGTAAGCGACAATATATCCATTTTCACTTATTCCTTGTACCTCATCATCTGCTAAAAGTTGCACTTTACTCACACCGTCTATTCCCACTTGTAGATGTAGAAAGTCTTTAAACCAAACCTAACCAAAGACAACCCCAATTACAAAATCTGTTTCATTTTAGAACAGGATGCAGGAAAGTCTAAAATTATTCGATTCGATTTGCAACAACAAATGGTTCACAGACACATCCATGATCCTCTTCCTCAACAAGAAAGATTTGTTCGCCGAGAAGATCAAGAAGTCCCCTTTAACCACATGTTTTGGAGAGTATTCTGGTAAGCGTTCAACAATATCTTGCGTCGCATCCACAAGCAGTTTAATTTTGAATTCGTAAAGGTGCGCAAGAGTACAGTGAGGCGGCAGCGTACATCCAAGGACAGTTCGAGGCCAAGAACAAATCGTCTTCCAAAGAAATCTACTGCCACATGACTTGTGCCACCAACACCCACAACATCCAGTTCGTATTCGACGCAGCCACCGACGTGATCATAGTGAAAAATTTGCAAAACTGCGGTCTTTATTAAGTTTATACTTCGACAATGACTAGTAGTGGACGGAGTAAAAAAGTTAAATGGGCATTAGTGAGGTGTTATTTATTTATATTGGTTGATGAGTTGATGAATCTGTCGAGTTTTCTTATCTGTTGTTGTTTTATTGTACTTATTTTAATGTAGTTTAGTGTTGTTTTCCAATAAAAGAATAAGGGTGTAAGACAAATTGAACCGATTATCGCTCTATTCAGAATAATATTCCATTTTATAATAACTTTTTTGGAACTAACGTATTGAAAGGATGCATTTACAATATAGTATAGATTATGTTATATGTACTACTTACACATTTACTATATGTAGTGTTTTAGTTCAACTGCTGTCAAATATTTTTTGAAAGGCGAACATAAAATTCACATCAATATAACAAAATTTAGTGTAATTCTATTGTGAAAACAGCAGGTTAAAAAAGTCAAAAGGCCAGTTGAGGTGAAACATCCTGTATAGAGTATAGTTGTTATAGTAATAAAAACAAAGTATTTTTATAAATTTTACTTTATTTTTATTTTATTACATATTTTTCTATTCAAATGAAATTACAAAATAGAGATCTTTGAATGAAATATGTATGTCTATTGTATTATATTAACATGTTTATAAAAATTATATCACGTTGTAGCAAATTTAAATGTAGTTTTGTCATTCTAAAACGAATTTTTCGCATATTTCTACTTTTACACTTTTTCCTGTCCTTTCTATTGAGGTAAGTGCAATAGGTGTCTAGAAATTACCAATGACTAGAGTATATTGAATAAATCCTGAAATGGTTTTATTATTTAAAAAAGATGACGAGCTGTCATTAATTAATACATTTTCTTCACCTTGATGACGTTAAAAAAATATATATGTATTCCCGGCGCATCCACCAAAGTTGACATTCAACAAAATTGCACCACCTGATGCTAGAATCACTCGGTTGTCACAAAAAATTAGAATCTGCCAAAACATGGTTAACTGTCATTAACGTCAACCATAATTCCGTACACAATCAAAGATATCCGCTTGGAAAAATTAACGTAAACGTCAAGCATCGATCTATGACGCTTCTTATATTGTGTTTACCCGGCGCCTCCACCATTTCCTGTACTTATATCAGAATATGCTTCAGGTCCTAATTCAGTAACTAGGTTTGAAATACTTCCAGGTTACGACTTATAAGCAACTTATCCTTTATTGAGTTTATTCACATCAGACATTCGTAAATATTCAATAAAATCAAACAACATAATCAACAAAATTGTACAGTTGAGTATTGACGATACCCTAGGCAATGCCAAAGCGCCAACCAAAGTACAACATGGCTGCCACTTGACAGTTCTTACCTAATATCATTATTAATATGAGTGTACACTAGACATTACAACAGCGACCTAGTCCAAGTTACATTCTTGTCATGAAAATGTTAGTAAAAGTATGAAAGTCACGGCATATGTATAATAAGCATGATGGTTTAATAATTAATTTAACCTAATAATGAAAACTACAGGATTATTATTGGTCCAGCCAGGAAAAGCCGAATGGAAATCTTCGCACTTCACTTAATTGAACTAAATTTTGTCATACAAAAAGGAACTATTGGGTGCAAAGCACTTAATACCTTAACATTATATACACCCTTAATTTAGTAGTACCTATGTAATAGAATAGACCTAATAACATGCTACGCCCATGCCCAAAATGTAGACTTTAACACACTCAGTAGTAGGTATAGTCGAAGGGCCGCTAATGACTTAGTTTAGATTTTATACTTGATTAGATACACGGACAAAATTTTAATCAAACCATTCTTATCTAGTTTTATCGATTAACCCACTGCTTTAGAGCTTCTTCGAACTGGAGAGTTTCCTTATTCATGCCTTCTTTGTTTGGAGTTTCTTCGCCTTGATCGTTGTTCTGCTCATTCTGTAAACTGGACTGTGGTTCACTCTTACTGGGTGTCTAAAATTTCAAGCAATTATAAGTCTTAAAGCGGATTGGTTCTAGACGGTGTAGCGTTTTGGGAGTAGTTGGTGCTGAGGTTAGACCCAGTACCAAAAAAATTTTAATCCCATATTCGACTTTTATCAAGGTTTCGGCCCCAAAACGCCTCACGAAACAATACCTGAAAGTGCCAAGCATGACCTACTCAGGGATGGGTGGGAACCCAACTAACCTCTCTAAAGCGAAGCTAGCAGTTGTATTATCTGAAGTGGGCACCCACCTGAGGTCCGAAAGGGCTTTGATTGGGTTCGGCCTGATTGTAATTGGGGTAATTTTGTTGGGCGATATAGCCTTGATTAGGGTGGTGGTTAAGGGCGGGGTACTGATGGTGGTTGTAATTTTGACTCGGGTTTTCCGGCGGGCTGGTCGGGTGTCTGGCGCGCAACTCGGCCATGAAGTTGGCGTCTTGGGCGTAGCGACGCTGCAGCTCCTGTTGCCAGCCGCCGTCGCTTTCGTCCTCGCCGTCGTCCTCGAAATCTGGACAAAACGGCAGGCGTTAAAGCGTTTTGGAACGGTAACGGGGTGGCGACGCCCGGGGAAAGTGCTTAAGCGGCTACGCTACTCACCTAAGGGTTTTCTGATTGCACTAGTCTCTGGCTGGTTCGAGGGGTCTGTAATTTAACAATCATTCAGCAGGCAGCATTCCACATACACTTCTACCACGGACTTTTTCTCTAAATGACAATGCAAGGTTTGTGTTAGAAGAAGGAACGGAAAGTAACGGATCAACGAAAACTTACCGAGATGGTTTTGTCATTAGCACAACAGGATTACAGTAACTATGTGTAAGAGTGTGGTCCTGTCTAAAAAAACTTTGGTGTGTATTAATCATGGAAATGGAAATGGCATTGTTTCAATAGTTCGTGGGCTTGGTGGTTTTAGTAACTTTGTAAAAGTTTAGGAATTATTGTTTTATAATGGAATATAAGCCGATTTAGTATTGGTTTAACGTCTCAGATCAGGTAAAGTAAGCCAATTGTTTCATTCTACGACGCAAAATCCCAAAAATATCAGTAGGAATGATTTTTCAAAAAGAAAAAAGTCTGTAGTGCCAAATGGAAGCATAATAACTGATCTAGAAATAGATGAAAATATATTTTTGTAAAATGACCCCACTTCTGGTCGCAAATGTTACGCCACTGGTCTCCGCTGAAATGACAGATTGTGACGACACATGTCTTCGGATAAATATTTTCACCATATTAATGTAGTTTTTCTCGACAGATCCCTATGAAATTACAACAAGTAAACGACATTTTTAATAAACTATAATTTTTTTTTTCTTTTTACATATTTCTCATTTTTTTAAATAGCTGACGTCATTGTGCTAAATAAAATCTATACAATAAACATAGTAGGCGTAGAAATAATGTCAACTGTCGGCATTTCTGTCATTTCAAGTGTTGTTGCCTAGTGTTAACACAATTTAGATTAATTATTCATTCTTTTTGTGTCTTCAGTTGAAAAAGAAAAGCCCCCTGGAGTACCCAAATAACCCAAATGGTTGTGTTGGTTTCAAATCTGGATTTGGATTTGTTTTTTGTTGACCCATAATGGGGCCAATTTACCGCAGATCAGTCAGGTAACAAACGCGTCACACTTAGATCTAGATACAGGGTGTTATTAAAAGGTACGTACAACAAAATTGACAGTTATTCGCGAAGTCTAAGAAATTTGAAAAACCTATTTTGTGTTATCAAAATTATAAAGGGAAAATTAACCCTTATCCAACCTTTTTAGACGCTACTGAAGGATAAATAGGTAAAATTAATTTATTTTAGTAAATCCTAGCAACTGTAACAATAAAACTTTTGTCAAGACTAAATGTTGCTATAGAAACGAAAGATGATCTTTTTATCAGAGGCGTACTACGAATTTGGACATAAATTTTAATATTTTTTATCTCTAGAAGGAGAACACTTTTACCTGAACTTTTTTTTACTCTTAGTCCCCATACTTCGAGACCAATTGCCGATTTTATTTTGTACGTACCTTTCAATAACACCCTGTATATATAAATTTCTTGAAAATCTATCTTGGTGTAACAACGATTTTTTTGTTTCCTAGAATTTCTTGGGAATTTTTAGGAAACTTTTCACAAATCTTGTTTTTTTTTTTACGAATTTTTTGACCGTTTTTCGAGCACTTTTCGATTTACCGAAAGAGATTTTCTTGTAGATTTCGACTTTCAGAATTTATTTTCAACTTTATTTCTTCGAAAATTCTTTTTTTTTCAGAATCGATAAAAACAATTATTTTCGAACCGAATTTTCCAAAAATCTTGATTCAGAACCATCAGCACTTTTTTTTTTTCATCAGCACTTTGTTTTTGGAATCAGGTCTTCGAAATCCATATCCCAAAATTTTTTGAGAATTTTGCGGCAACTTTTGAATAATTCGACCGTTTTTCAAGGACTTTTCGAAAATCACCCAAAGAAATTTTGTTGTAGATTTCGACTTACAAAAGTTATTTTCGACTTGATTTCTCCGAAAATTCTAACTTTTTTTTTCAGCACCGATAAAATGAAAAACGACAATTTTTGAAAACTTTGGTTCGGAATCATTAACACTTTATATTTTTCGAATCAGCTCGTCGAGATCCGTGTCTCAGAATTTTTTGAGAATTTTTAGGCGACTTTTCAAAAATCTCAATTTTTCAGTATGAATTTTTTGACCGTTTTTCAGCACTCTTAAAAAAATCAGCGAAAGGGATTTTCTTGTGGATTTCGACTGTCAGAAGTTATTTTCACCTCAGTTTCTTCGAAAATTCTATTTCTTTTTCCAGAATCGATAAAAAAATATCATTTTGAACCGAATTTTTCGAAAATCTTGGTTCAGAACCATTAACACTTTGTTTATCGAATCAACTCGTCTGAGATACATGTCCCAGAATTCTTTGAAAATCTTTAGGCAACTATTCAAAAATCTCAATTTTTCAGTATGAATTTTTTAACCGTTTCTTATAGATTTCGATTTACGAAACTTGTTTTCATTTCTTCGAAAACTCTAACATTTTTTTTTCAGCACCGATAAAATGAAAAATGACAATTTTCAAGGTCTTAAAATTTCATTTTCGAACCGAATTTTCTGAAAATCTTGGTCTGGAACTAGTATTACTTTGTTTTTCGAATCAGCCCGTCGAGATCCATGTCCTAGAGTTTTTTGAGAATTTTTAGGGAACTTTTCAAAAATCTCAATTTTTCAGTATGCATTTTTTGACCTTTTTTCTTGTAGATTTCGACTTTCAGAAGTTATTTTCAACTTTTTTTCTTCAAAAATTCTCTTTTTCAGAATCGATAAAAAAAATCACTTTCAAACCGAATTTTTCGAAAATCTTGGTTGGCACGATGTGTTTTCGATCAGCATGTCAGAATATTTTGCGAATTTTTATACAACTTTTCAAAAATCTCAATTTTTCAGTATGAATTTTTTAACCGTTTCTTATAGATTTCGATTTACGAAACTTGTTTTCATTTCTTCGAAAACTCTAACATTTTTTTTTCAGCACCGATAAAATGAAAAACGACAATTTTCAAGGTCTTAAAATTTCATTTTCGAACCGAATTTTCTGAAAATCTTGGTCTGGAACCAGTATTACTTTGTTTTTCGAATCAGCCCGTCGAGATCCATGTCTTAGAGTTTTTTGACAATTTTTAGGCAACTTTTCAAAAATCGCAATTTTTCAGTATGCATTTTTTGACCTTTTTTCTTGTAGATTTCGACTTTCAGAAGTTATTTTCAACTTTATTTCTTCGAAAATTCTCTTTTTCAGAATCGATAAAAAAATCACTTTCAAACCGAATTTTTCGAAAATCTTGGTTCAGAACCATCAACACTTTGTTTTTGGAATCAGTTCTTCGAGAGAATTTTTTGAGAATTTTTTGGCAACTTTTCAAAAATCTCAATTTTTCAGTATACATTTTTTGACCTTTTTTCGAGCAGTCGTCGAAAATCACCGAAAGAGTTTTCTTTTCGTGTAGATTTGGAGTTTCAGAAGTTATTTACAACTTTTATTTCTTTGAAAATTCTTTTTTTTTTCAGAATCGACAAAAAATATTTTCGAACCAAATTTTTCACACTTTGTTTTTTTTTTTTCATCAGCACTTTATGGTTTTTGGAATCAGGTCTTCAAGATCTAGATCCCAAAATTTTTTGAGAATTTTGCGGCAACTTTTGAATAATTTGACCGTTTTTCAAGGACTCTTCGAAAATCACCCAAAGAGATTTTCTTGTAGATTTCGACTACGAAAGTTATTTTCGACTTCATTTCTCCGAAAATTCTGACTTTTTTTCAGAATCGATAAAATGAAAAACAATTTTCGAGGTCTTTAAAAAATTTCATTTTCGAATCAGCTCGTCGAGATCCATGTCCCAGAATTTTTTGAGAATTTTTAGGAAATTTTTCAATTTTTCAGTATGAATTTTTTGATCGTTTTTTGAGCTCTTTTCGAAAATCACAGGAAGAGGTTTTCTTGTAGATTTTGACGTTCACAAGTTATTTTCGACTTCATTTCTTCGAAAATTCAATTTTTTTCCAGAATTGAAAAAAAAAAAATTTTTGAACCGTTTTTTTCGATAACCTTGCTCCGGAACCAGTAATAATTTTTGTTTTTGAATTAGCTCATCGATATCTATATCTGAGAATTTTTTTGAGGATTTTTAGACAACAGTATGATTTTTTTACCCTTTTTGGAACACCTTTCAAAAATTCCAACAATTTTTCCAGAATCGATAAAATTAAAATAGTTCATTAAATTTTCGAGATATTTAAAAAAAATCATTTTTAAACCGCATTTTTCGTAAATCTTGGTCCACAACCATTGAAATTTTATGTTTTTCGAATCAACTCGTTGAGATTTGTATCCCAGATTTTTTTGGGAAATCTCAATTTTTCAATAGTACCTATGAAATTTTTGATCGAAAATCAATCAAAGAGATTTTCGTGTAGATTTCGATTTACAAAAGTTATTTTTGACTTCATTTCTTCGAAAATTCAAACTTTTTTTCAGAATCGATTAAATGAAAAACGACATCGAGGTCAGTCCTAGAATTTTTTGAGAATTTTGAGCTACTTTTCAAAAATCTCAATTTTTCGACAATTTTGGAGGTTTTTGCAAAAATTTCATTTTTAAACCGAATTTTTCGACAAGCTTGGCCCGAAACCATTAACACTTCATGTTTTTCGAATCAGCTCGTTAACCCAAATTTTTTTGAGAATTTTTAGGGAACTTCAAAAATCTCGATTTTCCAGTCTACATTTTTTTACCGTTTTTCGAGCATTCTTCGAAAATCAGCCAAAGAAATTTTCTTGTAGATTTCAACTTACACGAGTTATTTTCGACATCATTTCTTCGAAAATTCTGATTTTTTTTCCCAAAATCGATAAAAAAATTAAAAACATTTTCGAACCGAATTTTTCGTGCTTCAGAACCATTAAACACTTTATGTTTTTCGAATCAACTCATCGAGGTCTCCGTCTCAGAATTTTGAGGCAACTTTTCAAAAATCTCTATTTTTCACTAATACCAATTTTTGGGCCGTTTTTGAGCACTCTTCGAAAATCGCCTAAAGAAATTTTCTTGTAGGCTTCGACTTAAAGAAGTTACTGTCAACTTCATTTCTTCAAAAATTCCAACATTTTTTTCAACCGATAAAAATGAAAGACGACAGTTTTCGAGGTCTTTCGAAAATTTCATTTTCAAAATTTTTATACAACTTTTCAAAAATCTCAATTTTTCAATTCGATTAATTTTTTGAAAAGACATTTTCTTGTATATTTCGCCTTCATTTCTTCGAAAATCTTAACAACTTTTTCTATAATTGATAAAATGAGAAACAACAATTATTATCGAGATCTTTAAAGTTTCATTTTTAAAACAAATTTTCCTGGACAATCAACGAATGAAAAATTTATCACAATTGAGATCGGGGCGGGTGGGTGGGGCTTAATTATTGTTTTTCTTTTTTTAATATTATATAGTTTTCTTGTTGGAAAAAGAAGACTTCGTATATCAAGAAAAAATTGACCAAATTATTTTCGTCCTTCACAGTGGTCATAGTGAAAATATTCACATGTAAATACTTGACATTTTTGGGATTTTTACTCAAGTTGGTTGTAATAAACGTTTAAACTCGAATATTTTCAACAGTTTTTTCGTTTTGTGTATTCATCATTCTGTGTTTTTCAGTTGTACATGAGATGATATAACTCTCGCTTTTATTAGCTTCCTAAAGTGCAACTTTGTACTACACCATCCACTAAAATCCACAGTGTCTAAACAGTACAAAAATAAAAAATACCATAATTAAAAAAGTATATTGAAATTTTAAAAAATACATAAATAAAAATTTTAACAACAATAAATATTTTCAAAACAAACAACAAAAATCACAACTAATAAAATGGAGTATTTTCAAAATTTGTGTTTAGATGTATTCATGTAATCACATGCTAGCTGTTCCAATGACAACGCATTCCGTAAATCAAAACATGTTCAGTCAAATTTTGTCAAGTATCGAACAAAAAAAATTAAAACATAGATCCATCATAAAATGATTCTATAAGTACAACCAGACAGTTTAGATACGTACAGAAATAACAATAATGTAAATATACAGAAATATAAAAAATAAGCTAAGTTTGTACAAAATCTAAAACAATATAAACAATAATAATAAAGAGAGAAGAAACTAAATTAGCTTCAAAAACTCGTAATACTAAACGGTTTAAGCGTTGAATTAAATACATAAATACATAAAATCGTCCTAGTTATACTTGTCCGTACCTGAATTCAGTTCTCTTACTAAAGTTGACATCGCGTTAGTCACTGAATCCGCGGCTACTAGCAGATCGTTCCGTAGCGACCTCCCCACCGACCCCGGGGTCCCATTCCCATTCGAACCTGCAACATTTCAACACGTCGTTAACATCACTCACGAAAAACGAAAACAAGACGGGATTCGACGAACCCCAACATCACCCCACTTACCCATACTGACACTGGAAGACCCTCCGAACGCGTTCCTCACGTCCCCGCCCACTCCCATCAAAGAGTCACTGTTGTGGATGCCCCGCTCGCTGCGCTCCTGCACCGCCGACGCCAACCCTGCCATCGGGTGCCCCACGTGCGTCGGCCGCTCCGCTTGACTGACCGTGACGATGGAATTATTCGAAGGCGGCATGCTCATGGGTGTCTGTGGTGCACTTCTAGGCGGCTGTGTGCTGGGTGCACCCCCTGGAAGTAGCGGCGGTGATTTTGTGCTTCGTGGCGACGAGTTGGGTGTGGATCTGGGTGAACTCTGGTGGTTCTTCAACATCTTCATCAGTCCCTCGAGCTGTATCATGAGCTGGCGGCGGGAGTCCTGGAGGGTAGTGAGGTGGGTTTCCAGCTCGTCTTTGCGCATGCGTAGCGCTCTCAGTTCGTTCATTAGGACCGGGTTTTCGGTGCCGTGGCCGCTGTTTTCCAGCTCTTGTTGTCGTCTACAAATGGGTTTAGTTAGAGGAGTCAATCCGGCGTTAAAAAATTGACAACCGTGCATTTTGATTGGTTAAGTTGAGTCAATTGTGGCTTACTCAAAATGCAGGGTCTCGTTCCGGATTGACCGTATTTTTAAGTAACGGTTACAACTTGCCGTTGGAGAAAATGCAGGAAATAAGTTTATGAAAAAAGAATTTACCTTAGCCTGGCAATTTCGCGCATTATTTCTCTATTTTTGGCTTCCAACTGACTAATCAGCTCCCGCTGCGCCCTCGTGGAGTCCATGCCCAGGCAAGCTTCCGACGGGACTCGCCCCTACCGAAGAAAAAACTCGTAATACGATTCCAGAGGGTGAGTTTTCACACACCGAACATGAAAACCCACCTTGCCACCGCCACTTACGTGCCTCAACAATCTATGTACAAAGTGTCCTACACAACAAAACTTGCGACCTCCATCAACGCACGTAAGAAACGGTAAGTAACATATCTGCATTAAGCACGTTTGGACATTAAGCTAAGCAACTCACCGTGTCTGGTGAAAGCGAGTTTTTTCGGTAACCGCTTCTCGCCTAAAGAGCAACGGCAAAAGCACATTTAGGAACATCATCCAACATAAAACAAAAAATATAGAGACGAGTAAGAAAGACATGCCATAGATGGTTCTGTTTTGAGAAAGAGTGTGTAAGAGGAAAGTGAAATGTTCTCACCATGCCGGACCGGGCCTCCTGCGCCAGCCTTGCGGCGTACCTCGCTATCATTTTGTGCTCGTCGTCCCTGGCGCTGTCGAGGCTGGATAAAAACGGTCATTGCGGTTTTTTGGGACGACTAAATCAATTGTTTACCTTCTCGCCGTCGACCTGCTATCTAAACTGCCCATTCCGTCGAAGTGCGACGTGAAATTATTACCGTCGGGGAAGCCATTGTGGGAAGGAATCGGCGAAGGAGGTCTGAAATTGATTGATTGATTAAATTATTACGCGAGAATGGGGCAAACGTACACGATGTGGGAAAGGTTCAGTGTTTTCTCGGGCTGCTCGGGGAAGCGAGGCAGATTGTTTTTTTGCTTGTCGGGGACGCAGCGGAAGGATTTTCTCAGGGATTGTCCGATTGTTTTACTAGGCGACTGAAACAAACAATAACAGGTTTTCTAGTTTTTATTAATAATAGAGAGAAATTTGCGATGTTGTTTGTATGCGGGATAAGTTCGCGTGCCGACTTATGAGCTTTTATGGGGTCGTCAATCCTGGTCATAAAACTAAAAAATTCAATAAACGCCATATTCGGTCGTCTAAATAAAAATCGAGACTGTTATGAAGAAATTTAGCGGTGTACTAAGAACTACTTATTGATAATTAACAAAGTTGGCTAAACTTGCTGTAATTATTTAAATATTTAACTTAAAACAAAGTTACTAGACGGAACTTTCTCCGCCCCTGAAGCACAATCAAACAAATCCACGAATTTTTATTTACATTTTCGCTTAAATTAAACTTATAATATTCTGGACTTCAAATCTCGACGATCTGATTCGAAAAACAGTGTTAATTGTCCCGGAAAATTCGGTTTGAATGAATTTTTTTTAAGATCTCGATAATTGTTGTTTGTTATTTTATCGATTCGAAATCTACAAGAATATGCCTTTGGGTGATTTCAAAAAATTCATCGAATTGAAAAAATGAGATTTTTAAAAAGTTGCCTACAAATTCCCAAAATATTCTGGAATATAGATCTCGATGAGCTGATCAAAAACATAAAGTGTTAATGGTTCTCACCAAGATTTTCGAAAAATTCGGCTTGAAAATGAAATTTTTGAAAAACCTCGAAAATTGTCGTTTTACATTTTATCGGTTCTGGGGAAAAATTTTTTAAAGGAATGAAGTGAAAAAAATTTCTTTCGGTTATTTTCGAAGAGGATTCGACAAACGGTAAAAAATTCATATTACTGAAAAATTGAGATTTTTTAAAAGTTGCCTCAAAATTCCCAAAAAATTCTGCGATATAAATCTCGATGAGCTGATTTGAAAAACATAAAAATTCGGTTCGGAAGTCTTTTTTTTATTGTTTTTTTGATAGATTCTGGAAAAATATTACAATTTTCGAAGAAATGAAGTTGAAAATAACTTCTATAAGTCGATATCTACAAGAAAATCTCTTTCTGTGATTTTCGAAGAGTCAAAAAATTCATATTGAAAAATTGAGATTTTTGAAAAATTGTCTAAAAATTCTCAAAAAATTCTGGGACATGGATCTTGATGAGCTGATTCCAAAACATGAAGTCTTAATGGTTTTGAACAAAGATTTTCGAAAAATTCGGCTTGAAAATGAAAATTTTTGAAGACCTCGAAAATTGTCGTTTTTCATTTTATCGGTTCTGAGAAAAAATGTTACATTCTTGAAGAATGAAGTCGACAATAACTTCTATAACTCGAAGTCTGCAAGAAAGTTTTTTTCGATGATTTTCGAAAACTGCTCAAAATTCATACTACTGAAAAATTGAGATTTTTGAAAAGTTTCCTGAAAATTCTCAAAAAATTTTGGGACATAGACCTCGATGAGCTGATTCGAAAAACAATTCAGTGTTAATGGTTCTGAACCAAGATTTTTGAAAAATTAGATTCGAATATGATTTCTTTTTAATTTTTTTTACCGATTCTGGAAAAAAATTGAATTTTCGAAGAAATGAAGTCGAAAATAACTTTTGTAAGTCAAAGTCTACAAGAAAATCTTTTTTTGGATGATTTTGAAAGAATGCTCGAAAAACGGTCAAAAAATTCATACTGAAACAATTCGAAAATGAAGTTTTTAAAGACTTCGAAAATTGTCGTTTTTCATTTTATCGATTCTGAAAAAAAAAGTTAGAATTTTCGGAGAAATGAAATCGAAAATAATTTTCGTAAGTCGAAATCTACAAAAAAATCTTTGGGTGATTTTCGAAGTGTTTGAAAAATGGTCAAAAAGTTCATACTAAAAATTGAGATTTTTGAAAAGTTGCCTAAAAAGACCCAAAAGATTCTGGGACATGGATCTCGAGGAGCTGATTCGAAAAACAAGTGTTAATGGTTCCGAACCAAGTTTTTCTAAAAATTCGAAAATGAAATTTTTGGAAAACGGAAAATCGTCGTTTTTAATTTTTTGATTCTGAAAAAAAGTTAAAATTTTCGAAGAAATGAAATCTATAAGGGAATCTTTTTGGGTGATTTTCGAAAAGTGCTCGAAAAGCAGGCAAAAAAAATAATACAGAAAATTGAGATTTTTGAAGTTTCCTAAAAATTCCTAAAAAATTTTGGGACACAGATTCCAACAAGCTGATTCAAAAAATACAATTTTTCAATTGTTCCGGACCAAAATTTACGAAAAGTGCAGTTTAAAAATGACATCTTTTAAATATCTCAAAAATTGTGGTTTTGAATTTTATCGATTCTGGAACAATTGTTGGAATTTTCCAAAGGTCTTCCAAAAATTCATACTGTTGTCTAAAAATCCTCAAAACATTGTCAGATAAAGATCTGGATGAGCTAATTCGAAAAACATAAAGTAATAATGGTTCCGGAGCAAGATTTTCGAAAACTTCGGTTCAAAAATGTTTTTTATCAATTCTGGAAAAAAAAGAATTTTCGAAGAAATGAAGTCGAAAATAACTTGTGAAAGTCAAAATCTACAAGAAAATCTTTTTGGGTGATTTTCGAAGAGTATTTGAAAAATGGTTAAAAAATTCATACTAAAAATTGAGATTTTTGAAAAGTTGCCGAAAAGGACTCAAAAGATTCTGGGACATGGATCTCGAGGAGCTGATTCGAAAAACAAGTGTTAATGGTTCCGAGCCAAGATTTTCTAAAAATTCGAAAATGAAATTTTTGAAAAACAGAAAATCGTCCTTTTTCATTTTTCGATTCTGAAAAAAAGTAAAAAATTTCGAAGAAATGAAGTTGAAACAACTTTTGTAAGTCGAAATCTACAAAGCAAATCTTTTTGGGTGATTTTCGAAAAGTGCTCGAAAAGCAGGCAAAAAAATTAATACAAAAAATTGAGATTTTTGAAGTTTCCTAAAAGTTCCTAACAAATTTTGGGACACAGATTCCAACGAGCTGATTCAAAAAATACAATTTTTCAATTGTTCCGGACCAAAATTTACGAAAAGTGCGGTTTAAAAATGACATCTTTTAAATATCTGAAAAATTGTGGTTTTGAATTTTATCGATTCTGGAAAAATTGTTGGAATTTTCGAAAGGTCTTCCAAAAATTCATACTGTTGTCTAAAAATCCTCAAAAAATTCTCAGATAAAGATCTGGACGACCTAATTCGAAAAACATAAAGTATTAATGGTTCCAGAGCAAGATTTTCGAAAAATTCGGTTCGAAAAATGTTTTTTATCAATTCTGAAAAAAAAAAAAAGAATTTTCGAAGACATGAAGTCGAAAATAAATTGTGAAAGTCAAAATCTACAAGAAAATCTTTTTGGGTGAATTTCGAAGAGTGTTTGAAAAATGGTCAAAAAATTCATACTAAAAATTGAGATTTTTGAAAAGATGCCTAAAAAGACTCAAAAGATTCTGGGACATGGATCTCGAGAAGCTGATTCGAAAAACAAGTGTTAATGGTTCAGAACCAAGATTTTCTAAAAATTCGAAAATGAAATTTTTGAAAAACGGAAAACCGTCGTTTTTATTTTTTGATTCTGAAAAAAAGTTAAAATTTTCGAAGAAATGAAGTTGAAAACAACACAAAATTGTTGGAATTTTCAAATGGTGTTCCAAAAACGGTAAAAAAATTCATACTGTTGTCTAAAAATCCTCAAAATTCTCAGATATAGATTTCGACGAGCTAATTGGGAAAACATAACGTATTAATGGTTCCGAAGTAAGTCTACAAGAAAATCTCTTTCGGTGATTTTCGAAAAATAGTCAAAAAATTCATACTAAAAAATTGAAAAGTTTCCTAAAAATTCTCAAAAAATTCTGGGACATGGATCTCGACGAGCTGATTCGAAAAACATAAAGTCTTAATGGTTCCGAACCAAGATTCTCGAAAAATTCCGTTCGAAAATGAAATTTGTTAAAGATCTCGAAAATTCTCGTTTTTAATTTTATCGATTCTGTAAAAAAAGTTAGAATTTTCGGGGAAATTAAGTCGAAAATAACTTTCGTAAGTCGAAATCTACAAGAAAATCTCTTTGGGTGATTTTCGAAGAGTCCTTGAAAAACGGTCAAATTATTCAAAGGTGCCGCAAAATTCTCAAAAAATTCTGGGATATACGAGGGTAGCGCCAAATATTCCCGGCCTGGCATAGATCCAGGTACAGTAGGAGGACAAAATCTTAGGAATGTGTCAGTTCAAGTCTCATTAGGTCTGAAACATACAAAAATGCAGCTTACGCCAAATAGTTTTTTGGTAACACACATTTGTTCATCATGATGTCAGAAGTCACGAAAATTGAGTATAAAATTACTCACTCCAGGAGGTATTTCCTCTCAAAACATTAAAGATCGGTTGGACGAGGTGTATGGCCAAAAATCACCGACATATTCTGTGATGAAGGAGTGGTCAAAACGGTTTCGATTGGCTCAGAAATCGTTGGAAGATGATCTAGAACAGGAAGGCCCATGGAAGTGTTAACGGACAACAATATTGCTCTTGTTGAGGATCTCGTATTAGATGATCGACGCTTGAAGGTGAAAGAAATAGCACAAAAGTCGAGGCTCTCAGATACAACCGTTCGCCGAATCGTCCATGATCATTTAGGCATGAATAAAATTAATGCAATGTGAGTTCCTAAATATCTCCCAGCAATTCAGCGCCAGCGTCGTGTTGAATCTGCTCAGTCTTTTTTGGAGCTCTGTGGAGAAAATCCTGTGGACGCACCGAAGACAAATGTCACAGGGCATGAAACTATGGTTCTGTACTAAGAGCCTCTGTACAAAAAAGAGTCGATGGAATGGAGATGAAAAGGAGAAGCACCACCAAGAAAGTTCAGAGTCTGTGAGTCGACAAAAAAGGTGATGCCTACCATCTTTTGGGATTCTGAAGACATTCTTCTTACAGATTTTAAAGAACGCAACACCACAGTTAATGCGACATATTACGTAGCACTTGTGCGTAAATTACGCCAAAATATTCGAGACTCCAGGCGTGGAAAACTCACTAGAAAGATGGTGTGCTGCACAACAATGCATCCGTGCACTCTGCTGCAATTACGCAAGACGCAATTCGTGATTGAACTTTTCAACAAATCGATCACCCTCCTTATAGCCAAGATATGACCTCCAGTGACTATTACCTGTTTAAAAAATTAAAAAAAAACCTTCGAGGATGCCATTTTGGAGACGACGAAGAGGTGAAGTCTGCAGTTTCGGCACATTTTGGGACCAAGCCGAAAGAATATTTTTTTAAATGTACTGAATTGTTGCTGAAACGATCTAATAAGTGCATTGATGTCAGGGAGGACTACATTGAAAAATAAAATTTAATTGTAAGTCTACGCCGTTTCTTTCATAGCCAGGCCGGGAATTTCTGGCGCTACCCTCGTAGATCTCGAAGACCCGATTCCAAAAACAAAGTGCTGATAAAAAAAAAGTGCTGATGGTTTTGAACCAAGATTTTCGAAGAAATAAAGTTGACAATAAATTCTAAAAGTCGAAATCTACACGAAAATCTCTTTCGGTGATTTTCGAAAACTGCTCGAAAAAAAAATTCATACTGAAAAATTGAGATTTTTGAAAAGTTGCCTAAAAATTCTCTCGAAGAGTTTAGTTCAGAAACATAAAGTGTTGATGGTTCTCAACTAAGATTTTCGAAAAATTCGCTTTGAAAGTGATTCTGGAAAAAAAAAGAATTTTCGAAGAAATAAAGTTGAAAAGTCAAAATCTACAAGACAAAAAGTCAAAAATTCATATTGAAAAATTGAGATTTTTGAAAAGTTGCCTAAAGATTTTCAAAGAATTCAGGGACATGTATCTCAGACGAGTTTATTCGATAAACAAAGTGTTAATGGTTCTAAACCAAGATTTTCGAAAAATTCGGTTCAAAATGATTTTTTTATCGATTCTGGAAAAAGAAAATAGAATTTTCGAAGAAATTGAGTTGAAAATAACTTCTGACAGTCGAAATCCACAAGAAAATCTCTTTTGGTCATTTTTTTTTAAGAGTGCTGAAAAACGGTCAAAAAATTCATACTGAAAAATTGAGATTTTTGAAAAGTTGCCTAAAAATTCTAAAAAAATTCTGAGACACGGATCTCGACGAGCTGATTCGAAAAATATAAAGTGTTAATGGTTCCGAACCAAGGTTTTCGAAAATTGTCGTTTTTCATTTTATCGATTCTGAAAAAAAAAGTTAGAATTTTCGGAGAAATGAAGTCGAAAATAACTTTCGTAAGTCGAAAATACAAAGTAATACTGGTTCCAGATCAAGATTTTCAGAAAATTCGGTTCGAAAATGAAATTTTAAGACCTTGAAAATTGTCGTTTTTCATTTTATCGGTGCTGGAAAAAAAATGTTAGAGTTTTCGAAGAAATGTAAACAAGTTTCGTAAATCGAAATCTATAAGAAACGGTTAAAAAATTCATACTGAAAAATTGAGCTTTTTGAAAAGTTGCCTAACGGTTCTCAAAGAATTCTGGGATCTATATCTCAGACGAGTTTATTCGATAAACAAAGTGTTAATGGTTCTAAACCAGGATTTTCGAAAAATTCGGTTCAAAATGATTTTTTTTATCGATTTTGGAAAAAAAAAATTTCGAAAAGCGCTCGAAAAACGGTCAAAAAATTCATACTGAAAAATTGAGATTTTCTGAAAAATTCTCTAAAAATTCTGGGATACAGATCTCAACGAGCTGATTCGAAAGATATAAAGTTTCAATGGTTCCGGACCAAGATTTACGAAAAATGCGGTTTAAAAATGAAATTTTTGGAAAACCTCCAAAATTGTCGAAAAATTCATACAACTGAAAAATTGAGATTTTTGAAAACTAGCCTCAAAATTCTCAAAAAATTCTGGGGCAGACCTCGACGAGCTGATTCGAAAAATATAAAGTGTTAATGGTTCCGAACCAAAGTTTTCGAAAATGTCGTTTTCCATTTTATCGATCCTGAAAAAAAAAGTTAGAATTTTCAGAGAAATGAAGTCGAAAATAACTTTCGTAAGTCGAAATCTACAACAAAATCTCTTTGGGTGATTTTCGAAAAGTCCTTGAAAAACGGTCAAAGTATTCAAAAGTTGCCGCAAAATTCTCGAAGACCTGATTCCAAAAACAAAGTGCTGATGAAAAAAAAAGTCCTGATGAATCAAGATTTTTGGAAAATTCGGTTCGAAAATAATTTTTTTTATCGATTCTGGAAAAAAAAAGAATTTTGGAAGAAGTAAAGTTGAAAATAAATTCTGAAAGTCGAAATCTACAAGAAAATTTCTTTGGATGATGTTCGAACAGTGCTCAAAAAACGGTCAAAAAATTCGCAAAAAAAAATGAAGATTTGTGAAAAGTTTCCTAAAAATTCCCAAGAAATTCTAGGATACAAAAAAAAAGTTTCTATGGTTCTGGTACAAGATTTAAGAAAAATGCGGTTTAAAATGAAATTTTTTAAGTATCTTAAAAATTGTCGTTTTTCATTTTATCGATTCTGAAAAAAAAAGTTAAAATTCACGAAGAAATGAAGTTGGAAACAACTTTTGTAAGTTGAAATCTACAAGTAAATCTTTTTGGGTGATTTTCGAAAAGTTCTCGAAAAACGGTCAAAAAATTAATACAAAAAATTTAAATTTTTAAAGTTTCCTAAAAATTTCCCAAAAATGTTGGGATACAGATTCCAACGAGCTGATTCGGAAAACACAAAATTTCAATTGTTTCGGACCACGATTTACGAAAAATGCGGTTCAAAAATAAATTTTTTAAAAATCTTAAAAATTGTTTGTAGTTTATCGATTTTGCAATTTTCGAAAGGTGTTCGAAAAACGGATATAAATCTCGATGAGCTGATTCGAAAAATACAAACTATTAATGGTTTTGGACCAAAATTGTTGAAAAATTCGATTTGATAATGGCATTATTAAATATTTCAGCAAATTTCTAAAAAAAAGCGTTTTTAAAATACTTTTCTAGAATACCAAAATAAATCTTTATCATTGACAAATAGTAATCTACTAAATACTGACACAACAAATCAGTTCGCATTTTTTTAATAGACATTTTAAATGCGTTTTTTTTTGCAGAACAACGCTATGATTTATTACGATATTAATAGTTCAAAAAAATACACCTTATGTTCTTTAGCAGCAAAAAACGATCTAAATATTTCCAGATGCTCTCATTTAACAGTGATGGGTTGATGACTAGATGTGATAAAACTGCGCAAACAAAAACACAAAATCGAGCAAAGTTTCGTAACGACCATTCACTCTTTAAACAAAGATCCTCTTGTGTCGAAGGATTCACAGTAAGTCGAACAGACTTCGCAATGATTTTGTCTCGTTATCACTCTACAGAAGTTTATTCATAACCACAACAGTATTTATGACAGGTTTGAATTCACGAATAAGCTTTATTTTTCTCTTAATATCTGTAACAATATTTAATTTTTGTTTTATATAAACATTTTAGTGCGGTAAAATCGAGGTGATTCACTTTCTTAGCCCGTCTACATCATGCAATCTGTACGATCGAGGGAGAGCAAACAGTCCCAGTTGGAAACAAATTTATATTAAACATCACATGCTGCAGCGCAATTAAACCTGATGTCAGCTTGCAACTATCTTAAACTCGTACGTATTTTCCACGCAACGTTCAGTATGGACAACAGACGCCACTGTTGCAGTGAAGCATTATTTTTTTGACTTTTTTACAACTCCATCTGTTCGGTAAACGGAGTATAACAGGAAATACTCATTCTGGGCCGGCCGATCTATAAATAAGAAATGAAGGATTTTCAGTCAAAACTTAAACGTTAATTGAATAAACCCCCACAGATTAAAGCAGATGAGATCAAGAGCTTAAACATAATTATTTCGTGGATAAACGCTGAGCTGCTCTTGTTTTTCCTCACTGGAGATACAGGTACGGTTTTTAATTTTTTTCGTGGTCTGAAATGCTGCTTAAACAACGAGATATTCTACAAATTTTCATGTAACTCCCACGCAGTTTACCGTTTAATTAGAGTAATATTGCGATATAATACACCCCCGTTAAAATATAAAGTCCCGAAATTCTCTTCATAAAAAAACGAAAAAAAATCTCGTTTCACCCCAACGTTATTACGATCTCTCCATCCCCCTAATCGCAAAAATAATACGTACGAAAGAAGAGTACTCCTTAACTTGATGTTCCAGCGTGTGCGGCGCTGAGATCCTCCCCTTCCAGAAGCAGTCCTGGCATAGCGTGTAATGAGGGCACTTCTGGCAACGATAACGAAAACCGCTGAAATTTTCCCTCTGACAGGCGTCGCACTGGATGGGGTGGATGACTAAGACAACAAAACATCATACACACTAATTTAATCCGGTCACGTACCCTTACCATTTTCAACATTGGCAATGCGATGCACAAGCGGCAGCCAAACGAGCGAGGGCGGCCCTGGATCGGACATCAGAGTGTCCAGGAAGTCGTTCACCGTAACCTTAACGTTCTGCAAACACTTGAATTATTCACCGTTCCAAACGGGCCGTGTTTGAACAACTCACGGGACTGAAGATCGTATTTGCCAGCGAGTCCGTGTAATTGAAAGTCGGCGATTCGTAGACGGCCGCCGGCAGGGCCAGGACCTCCTGGAGGTACTCATTGAAGCGCCACTGGAGGAGATGGCCATTGCTGTCGGATATTTGCGAGAAAATGTCTAAAAAATGGAGCGGTTGGCGGTGGAGGCGGTTTTAACATTTGTTGCTTACATCTTAATTTGTCCATCAATTTTCCGGCGCATAACGTTGCCAAGGCTACCTTAATGGAAAAGACGCGGATTTTTCCTACGTTATCTCTGGAAAAGCGATGAAATATTAACGGTGTAATAAATGGCGGGCGGTAATTTATTTAAAATGGTAAAACGGATTTAAAAGGTTTCGTTTTAATCAACCCGACTTTGTTCGTTACGAGTCACGTCATTCTACCATAAATGATTTAAGGCACCCCTATAAATTACGCTAATTGTAAACATTTTAGGGAACTGTCAACTTTTAATAAAGCAGGGTCGCATTCCCGGAATTAAATCTACTGGAGTACGGTGAGTTATGCGGATAAATAAATTTCAGGTTCGAGCAAATTTAATGAAAATATTTGCAGGAGGTTAAATCAGGTTCGATCCCGACTGTCAAATGTCAAAGGTGAGTGTAGGCTGGTGTAACACGGTGATTGTTGAGGGGATTTTTTACGACCCTGATACAAGCGGAGCGGCATACCAGTAATTTTTTTTCATTTTTCAACAAACAAAAAAGTCCATTTTAATTTCATGTTCTGCAATCCCTAAATCAATAGCAGCAGCTTACATAAAGTTCGAAAAATGTATTGTGTAAGCTTTGAACTAAATTAGTTTAATAATATGGTCGCCCTCTAAAACGTGACCAATACGACGTGCATGTCAGGCCATATTTTTTCAAAAGGTTTGTCATTATGCAAAACATTAATTTTCTGGGGAAACTTAAATTAAACTTGATATCTGCACTAATCGGAAGGTCAGGTTCTTGGAAATTCTGAGACTAACATAAAACGGTGTTTTTTTGTTGTCTGAGAAAAAAAAAAAGTTCGTTTTTTTCGTTTAGACAAGAAATTTAACCGTTACTTTTTTACACATGTTTAATAATTAATAAAACATTAAACACGGATTCATAAACAACAAATGTAGAAGTATAAAATTTTATTAATGCAATATAACCTCGATAATCCGAATTAATTGGGGAAAAGGTGTATTCGGATTGCGATTTGTTCGGGTCAGCGAATTTCCCAAAAATCTGAAAGGGAATTGAATAACAACTTCATACATTACTAAAAACAAACTTCAAGAAATAAACCTTAATTTTAGTAAACAAAAATAAAGTTTTCTTCGGGAACAATGGATAATAATAGATACATTCGAAAAAATATTACTTATAATTTTTCAGAATTTTTAGACGACTTTTTCAAAAATGAAATTTTCCACGATGAAATTTCCCCTTACGCAAATTTCGACCATTTTCGAAATTTAGCAAAATACTTTTTTTGTAGATTACGGGCCGCAAAAGTCACTTCCGGCCTCATTTCTTCGATAACTGAAACGTTTTTCCAGAAACGCCCACTGAAATATTGCAATTTTCAAAAATTAAAAAAATTTCGAATTTCACTCCGAATATTTGGAAAGTCCTTCTAGGTGACCCTAAAAATGCTATATTTTTGGATTCAGCACGTCAAGATCTATAACAACGAATTTTTTGACAATTTTTAGACCACTTTTTCAAAAATGAAATTTTCAAATTGTGCAAATTTCGACCCATTTTCGACGATTTTCGAAATTTAATTAAACACATTTTTTTATAACTCCAACCGTTGTGATTTTTAAAAATTTCAAAAAATCCAAATTTCACTTCGAATGCCTCGAAAATATTGCTCTGTGACCCCAAACACGGTATATTTTTGAAATCAATACGTCCAGATCTATAACCCTGATTTTTTTCAGAATTTTTAGACGACTTTTTCAAAAGTGAAATTTTCTACTATGTAATTTGACGATTTTCAAAATTCAACTAAGTATATTTCCTACTTGCGTCTGTATTTCATTGGCTTATTTTATTTATTGTGTATTTTCTATTGATAACTAATGAAATTTAGGCAAAAAGGTAAAACTATTTTATTTCGTCTGAGAAGATTATATTTGATATTTTAGTTCGTCAAGTGGTCCAATCTACGCTTAAAAAAAATTCAAAGTGGGCCCGCCCACCCACCCGGTTTTCTTCTTAATCACTCATTTTATTGGACAAAAAGTGGATTTTATATTGATACACAGTGGATTGTAGACAAAAAGGTAAAACTAACTCCACCCAGGTCCATTTTTTAATTGCATTGGCTTATTTACTTTCCTTTGCGATGAAAATTTTACTTTAGTTCGTTAAGTGGTCCAAACTACACTTAAAAAATCGAAGTAGGTCCGCCCACCCACCCGATTTTCTTTCTAATCACTCATTTTATTGGACAAAAAAGTGGATTTTATATTGATACACAGTGGAATCTAGACAAAAAGGTAAAAGTAACCCCATCCACCTCCGCTTTTGAATTTCATTGGCTTTTTCTGATTAGATGAAGGTTGGATCTTATTTTGTCACTTAGTCGAAATAACACAAAAAAATTCAAAGTGGTCCCTCCCACTCTCCATTTTTTTCTAATCACTCATTTTATTGGACAAAAAGTGGATTTTATATTGATACACAGTGGAATCTAGACAAAAAGGTAAAACTAACTCCACCCAGTTCCATTTTTGAATTTCATTGGCTTATTTTATTTCCTCTGCCATGAAAATTTTATTTTAGTTCGTCAAGTGGTCCAATCTACACTTAAAAAAATCAAAGTGGCTCTTCCCACCCACCCAGTTTTCTTTCTAATTACTCATTTTATTGGAGAAAAAGTCCCTTATTTTATTGGCTGTGACACGAAAAGTGGATTTTATATTGACAAACAATAGTAAAATAGACTAAAAGGTAAAATTCACCCCACCCATCTGTGTCTGCCTTTAATTGGCTTATTTTATTTTATTTATTGTGTATTTTGTATAGATAACTAGTGGAATCTAGACAAAAAGGTAAAACTAACTCCACGCAGCTCCATTTTTAATTTCATTGGCTTATTTAATTTCCTCTGGGATGAAAATTTTACTTTAGTTCGTTAAGTGGCCCAAAATACGCTTAAAAAAACAAAGTGGGCCCGCCCACCCACCGGGTTTTCTTTCTAATCACTCATTTTATTGGACAAAAGTGGATTTTATATTGATACACATTGGAATCTAGACAAAAAGGTAAAACTAACTCCACCCAGTTACGTTTTTGAATTTCATTGGCTTATTTTATTTCCTCTGCGATGAAAATTTTAGTTTAGTTCGTCAAGTGGTCCAATCTACACTTTAAAAAAATCAAAGTGGCCCCTCCCACCCACCCGATTTTCTTTCTAATTACTCACTTTATTGGAGAAAAGTCCATTATTTTATTGGCTATGGCACGAAAAGTCGATTATATATTGACAAACAATAGTAAAATAGACTAAAAGGTAAAATTCATCCTACCCATCTGCGTCTGCCTTTCATTGGCTTATATAATTTTATTTATTGTGTATTTTCTATAGATCAGTAGTGGAATCTAGACAAAAAGGTAACACTAACTCCACCCAGCTCAATTTTTTAATTTCATTGGTTTATTTAATTTCCTCTGAGGTGAAAATTTTACTTTAGTTCGTTAAGTACACACTACACTTAAAAAACCACCCACCTGGTTTTCTTTCTAATCACTTATTTTATTGGTCAAAAAAGTGGATTCTATATTGATACATAGTGGAATCTAGACAAAAAGGTAAAACTAACCCCAGCCACCTCCGGTTTTGAACTTCATTGGCTTTTTTTGATTAGATGAAGGTTGAATCTTTGTCAAGTAGTCGAATCTACGCTTAAAAAAATTCAAAGTGGCCCCTTCCACACACCCGTTTTTTTTTCTAATTACCCATTTTATTGCACAAAAAGTGGATTTTATATTGATACACAGTGGAATCTCGACAAAATAATTTCATTGGCTTATTTTATTTCCTCTGCCATGAAAATTTTATTTTAGTTCGTCAAGTGGTCTAATCTACACTTAAAAAAATCGAAGTGGCTCCTCCCACTCACCCAGTTTTCTTTCTAATTGCTCATTTTATTGGAGAAAAAGTCCCTTATTTTATTGACTGTGACACGAAAAGTGGATTTTATATTGACAAACAATAGTAAAATAGACTAAAAGGTAAAATTCACCCCACCCATCTGTGTCTGCCTTTAATTGGCTTATTTTATTTTATTTATTGTGTATTTTCTACAGATAACTAGTGGAATCTAGACAAAAAGGTAAAACTAACTCCACCCAGCTCCATTTTTTAATTTCATTGGCTTATTTAATTTCCTCTGCGATGAAAATTTTACTTTAGTTCGTTAAGTGGTCCAAACTACACTTAAAAAATCGAAGTGGGCCCGCCCACCCACCCGATTTTCTTCTTAATCACTCATTTTATTGGACAAAAAGTGGATTTTAAATTAATAAACAGTGGAATTTAGACAAAAAGGTAAAACTAACCCCACCCATCTCCGCTTTTGAATTTCATTGGTTTTTTTAATTAGATGAAGGTTGAATTTTATTTTATCATGTGGTTGAATCTACGCTTAAAAAAATTCAAAGTGGCCCCTCCCACCCACCCGATTTTCTTTCTGATCACTCATTTTATTGGACAAAAAGTCCGTTATTTTATTGGTTATGACGACACGAAAAGTGGATTTTATATTGACAAACAACAGTAAAATAAACTATAGGGCAAAATTAACCCCACCCACTACTACATTTTATTGGCTTATTTTATTTATTGTGAATTTTCTATAAATAACTAGTGGAATCTGGACAAAAAGCTAAAACTAAGTCCACCCAGCTCCATTTTTTAATTTCTTTAGCTCATTTAATTTCCTCTCAGATGAAAATTTTACTTTAGTTCGTTAAGTGGTCCAAACTACGCTTAAAAAAATCAAAGTGGGCCCTCCCCCCACCCGATTTTTTTTTCTAATCACTCATTTTGTTGTACAAAATGTGGATTTTATATTGATATACACTGGAATCTAGATAATAAAGTAAAACTTACCCCAGCCACCTCCGCTTTTGAATTTCTTTAGCGTTTTTGATTAGATGTTGAATTTTTATTCTGAGTCGAAAATTTTATTTTAGTTTGTCAAGTAGTCCAATCTACGCTTAAAAAATTCAAAGTGGGCCCACCCACCCACCCGATTTTCTCTTT